GGAAAAAGTAAAGACAGAGGTATCGGCATGCGAAGATATCCATAGAGTGATGTCCCCCAAGGTTCTGTGCAAGTGAGTGATGTTGATGCGGATGCGGGTGGGTATCGCCTTGTGTGTGGGTAGGGTGGTGGGGGTATCGCATCGAGAGGGAAAAGCAAAGATTTCCTTCACCACCCAACTGTCACTCACGCTGCAGTGTCCAACGTTTTTCACCACCTCGGTAGAGGCCGTTCGCTTTTGTTTGAGGCTTCTTGCTTCTTTGGATTTTGGCTTTCGCTTTCGCATCGTGTCGCCTTGACGAACCGAAATAACGTTATTCGTACCCTTACTTTCCCAAGCCAGACATTGATATCACGTCCGCGAAGCTGTGCTGGTTTGTCGGTCACCATCTTTTTCAGGGTTTTTTCTAACCAGCTTTGCTCTTTTTTAGCTCTTCATGCCACTTTTGCTTTCCTCTAAAGAAAACATCGTGCCTTCAGCAGCGGAAAAGGCCAAGGTGGAGATCTGAACAGCGTCATCGGCCTGATGCCCCAGTCTCTCATTTGCTGGCTTACGGGAAAACAATGGGGGTTCCCGTGGCGTGGATACCGAACGGCTGTCGTCTGTCCGTCCGTTTGTTTCCGGTCTCCGCCAGTGTCAGGCTACGCCCCACTCCGCCAGTGCCGTCGGGGGCGCCCGTTTCAGCATACCACGCTCTCGCACTGGCCAATGAGAACAGGCCAAAGACAAATTCAAAATTCGAGAAAGAGGATGGAGATCGAGCTGGGTCCATTGACAACGGGCTATTATTCTCTTGTTTGTCTACGCCCTTTGCCCTTGGGCTAACCACGGGACCCTGATGGCATTCGACAAGCGTAGATCACCCAGATCCGGGACCGCGACCCTCGGGCGCTGGCACCAGAGGCGATATCGACGCCATCCACCCCATAATCTCCGTCTTCCAAGCTGATCTATCTCGCGATTGTGGCCGCAAGAGGAGGCGGCTTTCCACGCTTTGCGTCCCTGGCGCCAAACAAACAAAAAAATAGGCATACAGCACCCCATCTCTAGAAAGAAAAACGAAAGATAAGGGGGAAAATGAAAGGGCGAACCGGCTCAGAGTCCCCACTGACCACCAGCTGGTGCGTGAGGCCATACGGCATCGGAGATTTATCTTGTGTTCCCTAAATAGACCCCACAAGTCCACTTTTCCTGGTGAGCTGAAGTTGAAATCAGGTTTTGTACGAGCAAAGCAAGGAAAAACATCAAAGACAAGGTGGTAGCGGCCACACATACGCCGGGGAGAGGTCGAGAGCTGTCTCGATGGCTCGATGCTGGCCGGGGAACAAGAGCGCTGCCAGAGTTCAAAGGAGAAGACGAGACGGTCGTCGTTGAGCCGCGAGCCACTTCATTGCGCCCAACGGATCCTTTGTCCCTATGGTCGTCCCATGATGGCGTAACCAAGGCTACGCAGCCTCTTAGGGCGCCAGCTGGTTGTGCAAGCGGGTCAAACTCCAAGTTACCTCGCCCCTGGGTGGCCCTGCTAGACCCGGATGTCCTTTGACAGCCACAGCTGAATCGTGGAGACGCAGGTGCAAAGGGTCCGCCAGAGAGAGAGAGAGAGAGAGCACTGAGTACAGCCAAAGGGGATAGCGCGGCTCATAGTCCCCACCCCCGCCTCCGTGGAGGGCCTCTAGCCGGCGTCGGTCGTCGGCCCTTCGGCCTTAAACCACTCTAGCCTCGACATGTGCTCCTTGGAGACTGGTGGGCTCACTGTCCCTGGGCTCCACCGAGCTTACAAAACTTGTTGCGTTTCCGCCGCAAAGGTGCCCTCTCGCCCTCTCTCCCCTTGCTAGTCCCAACTAACGTATCTCAACGAAGTTGATGTTAAACTCTGTTCTGCGTGCTTCTCAGCCTAGCTGTGGGTCGATCGCTGGGGACCTGGGGGTCGTCTTGAGAGAGGGCGCGGGCGCGTCCCCTGAGTGGCAGGAACCGATGAGGATGGAGAAGCAGGAAGCTTTCGATCTCCATGCCTCCCACCACAAAACAAACTTTTGCCTTTGCCTCGTCGCGACGAGGTTTGGTATTAAGGTTGCATTGCTTTACTGCGTGATTATGCTTATCGGATTACCTGAACGCATTGGGACTTTCGTTGCTTGATTATCCAAGCCCCAGAGCTCTATTTTTACGAGGACGAAGCTTTCCTCCTGTTGGCCGACGCCCCTCCACACTTTCCCTTGGGATCGACAAGCCGCGATGGCGCCTGCCGTTGTTGTGATCCTCTCACCGGCTGCCGTTTCCTTATCAAAGTTCACAAGCGTTTTACGGCATCCTGACTCAACCATACGATTTTTGCGAGCTCCTGATGTGGCGTCGCCGCCACCCCCCTTTGCGGAAGGAACGGCGTGGGCAGGGTGATTGGCAGAATTCTAGGCAGGGGAAGACAAATGGTGTGCTGTGATGATGCCTCCTCCTTGCTCTTGGGGTGGTGGGTTGTGGGCTTAGGATGGATGCGAGAGATCTTGGTGGACAATAGTAGATGATACATGCTCTTGACTTGACATCTTGCCATGATATTTTCACACGCCCTGTTTTGTTTCCTTTGTTTCCTTTTCTTTTTCTTTTCTTTTTCTTTCCCTCACCCCCTAGCTCTGAGGCAGGGACTTGAGACTTGCGTGGACCAAGTTCAGAGAGATGTGAAGATAGACCGAAGAAATCAGGGCAGCATCAGTAAAAACAAAATAAAGAAAGTGAAAAAAAGAAGAAGCGTGGAAACTTTGGCCACGAGTCGCCGAGCCGCAAGCCCGAATGATCGACATTGTCTTCTGAAACGGCGTCGACGCCAACCTTTGGTCATGCTCTACAACATTGACGTGTGATATGGTTTCCCCACGCTACTCCAAGCTCCCAAAGGCACATACAGCCCAACGCCTCTGCGGCCCCTTGCGCAAATTGGAATTTCGCACAAAACGTGAGAAGAGGCCGATTACAATTAATCACAATATCACAGAGGGGAAATGAAAAGGTGTGAAATTGGAAAGTGACGAGGGGACGCCTCCCGCTGGTAGCCGGTTAATGCCGCTGCCACCACGTTGGAAAAGGGCCCTTTCAAGGGCGGCCTGCAACCCGGGAATTTTGTCTTTGACTGACGTCCCCAAGATTTGCTTCTTCGGAGGAACGGCCCTCGAAGTTTGATCTAAACCTCCCCTTTCTGCCTTGTAGATCTCACGCAAGGGACTATCTGAATTCGAACCCTTCTCAGCCCTGGGAACCATACGTCATGGATGTGCGTGGCCTAGGTGTTCCCCCATCTTCCACTTTTAGGGGATCTCAAGGGAAAGAGATTGGCGAGGAGAACCACCCCCAATGGTTCTCATCCTTCTCGCTATCCGACTTGACAGGATCTGAGGGGATGACGTTTTTATCTCTACCGAGGTATTTGAAAGTGAACCCAGTCCGGCACGCTAGTTGGCTGTAGGGATTAGACCGTCTCAGCGATGATCTACAAGTGTCACTCGGGTGGTGTGGAAAGTGACTGCACATCAGAGCAGAGAAGAAAAAGAAGGAAAGAAGTAAGTAGTGGGATTGATGAAGACTGTGCACAACCTTGGCGACGCTATCTACACTCCGCCAACTGTCCCATGGTATGTCGAGTTACGAGGTAGCCAGCCGTATGGGGGTCTCTCCTCTCTCCCTAGGGTAAAAAAGCAAAGAAATCTGGTTCATTCGATGCCATCATCATGAACACGAGCAATGAAACCTAAATGTTCCTTGACCAGTTTCTAGCAGAAGATGCGCAAAACCCCTGCCTTCTCACCTTGCGGGAGGAGGAGGAGGAGGAGGGATCTTTGCCATGCTTTGCTCGCAACAACATTTCAGGAGGTGGCAAAGTTCATCCCCTGATGACGAGTCCATTATGTTGCGCTGGCCCCGGCCATCCCACTCCGACCGTATATCGGGCCCTCGCGGCGTGCGATGCATGGGGCTGGGCCTCGCGGGACCCCGCGAAACACGACGAGCGGGTGGAGGTAGGGTAGGGAAAAAGCGCGCCAGGGAGCGCTAGGATTCCCCGACAATGCCGGGCCTGCCGGAGAGAGGGAGGGGGTTGGCCCAGTCACGGCCAGAGGAAAACCTGCTCAGAAGGGCTAGAGAAGAACGGTCTAGCCTGGGATTGCGCGGCGGCCGGCAAGCCAGATCCGAGAAACGAGGGCCCGTCGCTTTCCTTCCGATATCTGCAGCCCATCGTGATGCAACTAAATTGCCGTTGGGTCACTGGGATACGACGAAGAAGAATGAACTAGGCATTTCGTGGTGGTGAATCTAACTGATCGATGTGAAGCGATTTGTACTAGGTGGCTATGTTAGGATAAGGTGACTTCTATCATCTCTAAAGTATTGTACAACTACTCCTACAAGAGCGGGCAACCGCAGCCCGGCACTGACGACTCGTTTCTCGGCCATCAGCGGCGATCGAGACGTATTGACGCCTGATGAGCGCTCAGCATACGAGTATTTCCAGACACCTGTCTCTTCCCTTTCCCCCTCTCTTTTCAGGCGAGTAGAGCAGTCCTCGGCCGACGTAACGACGAGATGCCATTCTCATGTGGCTATGGAAGGGGAACTGTTGTCTCGCACACCAACAGTTCATGCCTATCTTTGGCCCTGTTTCCGGTGGTAAGATATCTGCGGTTGGGTTTACGCATTCCCCGCTGCTGCGCATCCTTGGCGGCTGCCTTGACTACATGTTGACCATGCCGACTCGGCCCCCAATGCGGTTGGCCCTGTCCCTTTAGATATTTGCAAACGTAGAAACGTAGACGAGGCTCGACAAAGCTCGCCTGTCCGCAATAGTCGGAGGAGAGCGTGGAAGAGCACCACCGGCAACCTCTAGAGGCGAGGGCTTGTATGTCCAGCGCGGCACCGTCTGATATCAAGATGTCGTTGTTGCCTATGAGTGGCGCCGACCGCCCTATGCCATAACCTCGAAAGTCCCTTCGGTCCGTCCAGGGTGTCTGTCGCCTTTACAACTTGCCGTCGGGCTCGCCGGGAAGGCGCTCAGCCCGCTTTTGCTGCCAGTTATCGAGATCCTTGTCCGCTCGTAGTTTCTGCGTACCAGATCGTTAGCCCTTGTTCGCTCTTTCCTCGTTCTCCCTTCTATGCCAAACCGACACGGCGCAAGCCAGTTCCGAGGGGGCCACCCATGACCCTATCCTGAGGGCGAGGCACACCAGCACAACCGCTACCGCTAGCTTGACGGGGCAGATCTAGCTCTCTATTGGCAAGTTCGCCTTGGGATTCCTTACCTGATACTCGTCGCGCCAGTCGACCTTGCGCGGGTTTTTGCGCACGTTGAGCTCCTGCTCCTTGGACAGCTGCCTGATCTTGCGGTCATGCTTCTCGTAGCGGATGGCAGTAGCGGGCGTGAGAACGAAAGAGCCGGCAACGATGACGATGAGGAAGGGGAGACCAAAGGCGAGAAACGGCCTCTTGGCGATGACACGGCGATACTTGGCGGCGCCGGAGCTGACGTCCGCGCGGCTCTCAAACTTTTGGAGGAGAAAACAGCCATATCGATGTGTTCCCTTCTCTCAGCCTTCTGTCGGTCTTTGTCTCTGACTCGGGAGTTTGCGCGAATGTGGGTATGTGTGCGTGTGTGCGTGCGTGCGTGCGCGGACAATGGGCCTTGTTCGTTTGATATCGCGTCCTTTCCCGTGCCCGTAAGCCTGGTATTGCAGACCTGTCAGGCCGGGTGATAAGTCCCAAGTGTGGCAGATTAATTGAGCGGAGAAGTCGTATTCTCGATGTGCCGAAAATGCGTGCTGGATGGCGGCTTGGGACGGTTCGCGGTTGGCGTTGTTACTGATGGGCGTGTGGTGGTTTTGGCTGGTACCTTGAGTTGCGGGACGTTTTGTCGCCTGAGAAATCTGGTGATTTCGGTTCGATTTTTCCTTGCTACATAGGTCGGGCGGAGGGGAGCTCGGGAGCTTAGTCGGGGTTTTCTGCCACACGAGTGGGAGGTGGAGTGGGTCAAGCTCCTGCATACTGTAGGAATTCAGTCTCTGCACACTATACATCAATTTGATGGACTGCGGGCTGCTTTCTTGCTAACCCTCACTAAGCTCCCCAACAGTCATCATCCACATATCCACAGATCAATGGATGCATCTATGGATTGATACTCCTCAATTTCGTAACCAACCCTGATCCTGACCCTGCAGGATAAGGTATAGTTGTATGGACCTGGAGGCTGCGAAATCTAGCCAAGCAGAAGCGACACCCTCCAGGTTGGCTGACAAGCAGCATCCCCGCCATCAGGGTGGAATAATAGTCGGGAAACCAGCACCTGGCGCAGCCCGCAACGCGGCAGGTTGACACCTCGTATGAATTTGAAAGCTTCACTAGGTCAACTAAAGACGATGCTACAAGTCGCACCGTATGATATACACCATGCACCCCTCACCTCGGATTCCCTTTTTCCCATATTCAACTCGACATCGTCGATAGGCCGTGGGCCATTGCATCGGGGCGTCATCCAGCGTCTGAGGAAACGCTCGGCCGTCGGCCAGAATCCCAGATCAGCCACCCTGGGTTTCGATTCCGGACGACAGTCGACAACGTTCATCCCACGGCTGGGGCATGCAGGAGATCCTTCCCCGGACCCAGAAAATCGTGGGAGGAAGAAGTGGGAGAAATGGGGGAATAACGAATCTACTAGGATAAATTGGGGGAAAAGGCAGGGAAATGCGGAAGACGCGGGGATGGGCAAAATTTGTCCGCTGGGGAACGACAAGGTTCAAAACCTGCTTTTGATGCTTTCTGAGATTTCCCCAGGTCCCCTCAGTTCCCTTTGGAAACGTGCAGCACGTCGGTTTGCTGTTTCGATAGATTACACATGGCCGAGTGGCCGAGAGCGCACCGGCGCACGGCGCACGGCGCAATATGACAACGGATCCCTACACGAACGTGAAAGAGTGTGATGTAGAGTGGGGCGGCCTACCGAGCTCTGCACGGGGAATGAAGGAATTATTATTTAGGGGAGGGGAGGAGGCGGAGAAGAGCCAGGACGGATCGGTCGGTCGTGCCCCCATGCTGGGATCGGGTTTGGTCTGCCAGCGATGTCGTGCAAGGCGAGAAACAAATCATGCTACAGCAGATCAATCCTGCCTGCAGCCTGGCTGACGACGACGCTCAGACCGAAGAGCTGGGCGAAACGGTTGACAAGACCTGGGCTGATGTCGATTTGCAGGGCCAAGGCAACGGCGGCCACCCACAGAGTCGTCCGCAAAGGGCTTGGCTTGGTGTGCGAACTCTGGTCTTCTCCTCTCTCCCCGCTCCCCACCTCACCTCTTGACAAGTAATCCATTCATCCGCCCTATCCCATCCTCAATGATTGGGCATCTTCGATGATATACGATACTGCAACGAATAGTCGAAGCGAGGGCCGGGTTTGGTGCCAGCGCTGAGGATCTGATGGCGCCCCCTTCCCCAATGAGAGCCTCCTTCTTTTGCCTCTCAGAGGAGGCGGCAGGTTCGGCAGGACTTGCTACCCCAGTCCATGCAGGTGCTGAGTGCATCCAATTGAACCACCATCCTTGTTCGTTTGGGGAATTTTAGGGGACGATCGAACAGCGACTCCAAGTGGAGACCGCCGACTTAGTTGCCTTACTACTCGTGGTATTAGTGGAGCCTTCCAAAAATACCTGGATCAAGGGGAGCGCCAGCTCTTTGCTGACAGCTCGTTTGGGTGGTTGGGCGTGAGCAACCTAGCTGATCCTAGTGGATGGAGTAGTAGGCTGGCGTACGACTTGGAGGACGGTCTGGTTGATTTGAATTGAGTCTGGTACTTTGTAATGATCTATAGTATGAGCGCGTTTTTGCTTAGGCCTCTTTCTTCCCCCAGGCTCACTAGGCTAGCGGTGCAGGGCCATTCCCAACCACTGTCAAAGCCAAAGTTCCAGGTTCCACGGGCATCGTGTTCCACTCGTAACATCGCCAGACAATACAAAGCTGCGACTTGTTGGAGTTTCCAATGCGCCCAAACGTCACCCGGCGTCGTCGTACCAAGGATCCGGCCGCCAGCATTCAGTTACCGACCGTTGCCCGCTCGACGATGCGGGTCGCAGTCAAGTTGGAAGATTGGAAGAGAACATGAATGGCCATGGTCCAGGGATGGAAAAAGAAGCTGTTACAAGAAATAAAGAAAGAAAAAGAGGCAGTGAGAGACAAAGAAGAGACAAAGAGTAGTAATAACTGGAATTGTGGATCTGTCGCACGAGGCCTTGGAACCAAGAAGCAGCTAAATCTCTTGCACGGCTGTTCGCTCGTATTAGCGTCGTCCCCCGATCTGGGGGAGCCGGATCCGTGATCCCGCTGGGACTTTGTTCCCGGACCATCGTTTCCCCAATCCTATCTCTCTTGGCTCGTAAGCTCGACTCCAACTTTTCCTAGTATCCCCAACAAAATGGCCACCTTACGACGCCGCTCGATAAAGGAAGGAGGGGGGAACATGGCCAAACGAGGATTGGAGAAGTCGAATTCACATAACCCGCGTCAGCAGTCAGCACCTAGCGGGTAGAGAACAAAGGAGAGCCACCGGAAGCCGGAGAAGGTGGATAACAAGGGGGAAATGGGAAATGGAAGATCAATTGGAAGATTCAATGGGGATGGAAAATGGGGGATGGAGATGGAGCACTGGCGACCAGAGCGAGGAGGAGGAAGGACTTCGTAGCTCTGCAGCTCCACAATTCGCTCGCGCCCCCATCAATGATCCAAGTGTACATCGGTGAAGATGTCGTTGGCTAGGCTGCTTCCCCGGACCACCAAGGCAAAAACTGCTCTGATAACACTTTTTATTACCTTGGCAAGCTTGGTACATCCGACCTACCACGCTCCATCATCGATGGGGGTTACACCTTTCTCCCACTTGATACGCCATCCGCCGTGTATCTTCTCTGACAGGCCGCAACCTCCCGTGGTTGTGGTTTGTTTCCACATGGCGTGTTCCTGTTTCTTGGATTTTCCTTGCACACTCCCCTCAACCCACCCCTTCGGTTATGCATCCTTCCCTTCTTCTTCCTTTCCACGCACCCTCTCTTTTTTTTTTTCCCTTCCTCCTCGGCCGCCCCTGGCCTTAACCAAAAGGGAGGGGTGTGTACCTTGGGAAGCTTGGGGGAGGGGGCGCGCTCACCGATGCATCTGCGTTCCGTTGCCTTGTCGAAGAGGTGTATACTTGTAGATAGCTATTTTTTTATGTTCTCTCCTTCTCACCCTGGGTCGTATCAGAGGGGTGATTCCGAGAGAAAGTCATCCAAGGGGAAGGGAAAGGGGGAAGGGGGATAACCACTTTTCGCCCAGCTCGGATGATTGCGCATACCCACCACGTACCAGGCGCCTTTCCCATCGATTAGGTTGAGAGATGGAATATAAATATCCAAAGCCTCCTGTCCACCTTTCCTTTCCCACCTCCCATCACCTCGCATCTATTCACTTTGACCTCGTCGATTTCTCCATCTCAGCTTGTACTATCACCCGCTTCATCTTAGTCCCAACGAGGGGAGGCGTCAAAAACACTTTTCCAATTCGAGCTGCTCACTCGCGCCATTCTCGCTTTGGGTATAGTGCCCAGGCTCTTTGCAACTCCATCCCCGGAAACATCTATCTTTGCCCTTTTCTTTCCTGCTATCGCATTAGCCCCGAACCGGATCGCTTGCTAGGCCACTTGCGGTTTACACGAGCCTTTTGCCACTAGGTGCTCGACAACTGCCTTTCTCGTCTCAGCTTAAGATCTACATATCCCATCACCGGCCTCGGGACGCCCAGCTCCTGAGATTTTCTCAACCTCTGCTCACCAGAATCCATCTCATAATACGAGATCTTGCCATCTTGCCATCTTCTGTCTGGACCATCGACATTGGCGTCTCTAATCCACATCCCATCTTGAATATCACCGCGCCTCACACCTACGCTAGATAAGCACATTAGTCTCCCGCTTCATCTTGACACGCATATACGCACACACATCAATACACCTCCACCACACACACACAGTTCAACACCTACATCGAGACACGGACACGCAGGAGCTCGTCAACCACCACCACCCACCATGACATACTACTGCTCCAACTACTATGTAAGGCACACCACCTCATTCTATGCACGAATGCAAACAGGGAAATCGTTTTCAAGAAAGGGGTGGCTGACATTGATGCCTAGGGCTCCATCCAATGCCGCACGACGGTTGCTAGGTTTGGAGATAGATGCAAGCTCTGCACTGTAAGTGGCCCAGCTCGAGGTGTCCTTTTTCTGCCCTATGTGCCTCTCTCTCCATCTGTCCCCCCTCATCTGCGTTTGGATTCCGCCTACTGCTTGTCTCATCTTCCTCGACTCTCTCGTTGCTTCAGCAGCAGTCTTCGCGCGGCCTTGACCCACCTTGTTGTTACACTCGCCCCTCCCCGCGCACACAATACACATCACTCGGATCGGGTCTACGAGGTAGAACTTGCAAGACTAACACGGTTCGCCAATTAGGTTATGAGGGTCGGTGCCTCGATAAGCGATGGCCTGCTGCCCGAAACCCCCAACGGCGGGCTGCACAACTCAGCTAGCAGGGATCAGAGCATAGACCGGAGAGGAGAAGAGAGGAGAATGGTCAAGTAAGCTGCATGGCGCCGGCATGAACCGGCGAAAAGAAAACAATATCGCGGAGCAAAAGGGACGAGGGGCCTCGGCGGCGTTGAGAGAGAACGAGAAGCGGGGTGGCGGGAAGGGGAAAAGTAGGAGGAGGGTGCACAAGAGATTGGAAGAGAGGGGGCAAGGGAAGGGCCAAGCGAGATGCTGGACGCGGGTTTGTCCCGTTCGGGGCTTCGGTGCCTTCGGCGGACGGAGGTTGAAGGAGGGGGAAATGTGGAATGTGAGATATACCCAAGGATGACGCGCGGGGAGGGGAGGGAGGGGAGGGAGGGCGGCGTTGGTGGGCGCGCTCGGCAAAAGAAGGTGGTGGGTGGGGGAAACGACCGTTGAAGGAGAGAGTGGGAGGAGGGGAGCAAACGGGAGGCCAGGAGGGAATGTCCGAAGAAGGACATGGGAAGAGGAGGAGAATCAATGATACCAAGACGCAAGTAAAGTGCGGGACACTGCGACACTACCGAATACCGAGAGCCCGACGGCGGAAGCCAAGAGGAGCAAAATCACGAAAGCAAATGGTTGTTTTTTGGGGGAGGGGGACCGGAGGACAAAGAGGAGAGGCGAAACAGACGGAAAGCAATAAAAGACGACCGGATGCGACCTTCTGGCGCGATATTGGCATGCGGGATCGATGTTCTTTTTTTTTCCTCTTATATTTCCATCTTTTCTTTTTTCGTATTAACGCGCGCGCAAACGATGGAAAAGGAAAAAAGTCCAAGTCCGAGAGAGGGGCAAACGGATCATGTCATTGCGACAGGAAAGCAGCAAATACCTCATTTACAACTGTAGCTTAGCTAATTGCCATACCCGAATATATATTCTTCATATTTTATTATTGCCGCTGACCTTGGCTGCCTTTCTTTCTTTGGGTCAGGCTGGAACAGGAGGGAGGGGGATAATCGCCTCCGTGGAGGGGCGGCTAGGACGGCTTCACACCGGGAAGCTCGACACCCTCGAGTGATTTGATGCAAAGACAAGATTGGAGACTCTGTGTATAGACATAGACCGGTGAATGTTGCCCCGTCAATTAAAGGAACGTGGACAGCCATCCCATTTTACATTGATGGTACCTAAAAAAGGAATAAAACAAAAAACTGTGAGACGAAACATTCCTAAATCACTACCCTTGCTGTTGATGCCCAGAGCCTGACCAGTCTATCCGAGCTTTGGTGGCTTTCGTGTCCGTGTAATCATCCTACATCCAGTGTGTCCATCTCGATTCATGCAATAGATCGCTTCTTCTCCATCTTGCTGCCTGTTCCAACTTGCCTATTCCGAAAATCAAAACTAACCAAAAAAGCCGAGATAACAAGTATAATACTCGTAAACTCGAAAACCCCAATAATAATAGTAAAAGTTCAATGCTTTCAAACTCCGTTTCGTAACGTCATGCGCTTCCTTTGATAGGGAATAAAAGACGCGTGGGGGTTCAGCACCCAGCATCCCTGGCCTACATCAATTGATGTACCTTCTGGTAAGAAGAGGGACAGGAAGAGGGAGAAATCCTAGAACCGGATGGATGTTTTCTCTCCCTCTTTTTGTCTTCTTTTTCTTTTTTTTTTCTTCACTGTATTTGGTTTTACCAGAGTCGGCGCTGGTATAACGGCCCTTCCACATGGGATAATTTTCGAATTTCGTCCTTGATCAGCTTTCGGCGCTCGGCGCGACTGAGCAACTTCTGGTTAGCTGCCGAGGGATCCGGGTGCCTCATGTTCTTCTCGAGCTGTTGTCGTAGATTTCTCTCCATCTCCGTGGCGGAATCGTCCTCTTCCTTGACCTTCCTCTCCACGCCCTTGAGCAAGGGCCCGTAGACGTCATCTTGCACGGGTGGCTGTGGCACCTCTTGGTTTTGGGGCACCGACTCTTCCTCCACCGTGCTCTCTGTGGGTGTAATCTCGATCACGACCGGCCGCTGCTTGTTCCTCTCGTGGATGGGAATCACGGGCTCCTCGTCTAGAATGATAATGGTCCCATCCTCCAGCTCCGTCGTCGTGTGCTTGAATCGGTCGGGGAGATAGATTTTCGGAGACGGCTTGGGCGTCTTGATGCCCTGGCGGATCTCGCGCAAGGTCCGGTGCTGGATGGCGCAGCCGCTGATGAAGAGGACGCTGGTGAGGAAAAGAACTGTTGGCTCGTTACGCAGTTAGTCTGGGCCATCAGTTTTCGTGTGCGACGAAAAAAAAAAAGCGAGAGGTTTTGGGAATCCGCGGCCGGGGAGAGGCGTGGGGAAACCCGTCACCAAGAAGAATAGATCAACCATGTCCGCAGAGGAGCACAATAGAGTCTGGGAAAGCACGACGGGGAAAAGGTGGGGGAGAATAACGAACATAATGCAGAGGTAATGAGGATTGAAACCTGCGAAGAGGTGAAGAGCACTGTTCTCCACGGATGCAGCTTCCCATTATGCCTCGTCGCTTCTGGGTATTTGGGTTTGTACATTTTTGGTTTCATTTGCGCACTCGCGAGGCCTTGGTCCGGGAAGAGCAGCCACGAGAAGTAGGGGCTAAAAAAGGTAGGAAAGTTGGTAGGGAAAAAAAGAAAGAGGCTTTTAAGTGGATTTATCTTTCGAAATTGAATAAGAGGAAATACTATCTCCTCTGGCAGACTTTCGTTCTTGTTTGATGTGTGACGCACGTTGTCAGACACTTGGCCCTCGTGGATGATGGGGAACATTGATGAACTGATGGGTTCTGGTCTTGTTCTTTGTTGATTTGGTTCGCGGGGCAACTATCGATAAGCCCCACCACCGCACCCACAACTTGGCACTGGCACTGGCAGCTCGGCCACTTTTTAGAGCTTCAAAGTCACCACCTCGCGACACCAATCATCAGCTAAAACTTGCTTGCGCAAAAATTGGACACACCTCACAGAATCTCGAGCCACCCTTTCCCCTTCTGAAAAAAACAAAGAGACCAAATTTCTCAGCATCCAGACGGGTTACGGCAAAGAACCTCCACATCACCATGTCGAGACGTGACACCATCGACGCCGATGAGCGCCGGTTCGTCGACGAGCGCGGGTCCTCCGCCGCCCTCGCCCCCAACGGCCTCAACCCCTCGACCATTATGGAAAAAGCCGTGCGGGACCGCATAATAGACTCGTATTTTTACAAGGAGCAGTGCTTTGCCCTCAACGAGGCCGACATCGTCGATCGCGTCGTCGACCACGTCACCTTTATCGGCGGTACCTACGGCAGCTCGCAGAAGCCCACCCCTTTCCTCTGCCTCGCGTTCAAGCTGCTGCAGCTGGCGCCCTCGGACGCCATCCTGGCCGAGTACGCGGGCATGGGCGGAGACGAGTTCAAGTACCTGCGCGCCCTGGCCTGCTTCTACATCCGCCTCACGCGGCGCGCGCCCGACGTCTACACCAAGCTCGAGCCGTTTCTCGAGGACTACCGCAAGCTCAAGAGGAAAGGGAGGCAGGGCACGGCGCTGACTCACATGGATGAGTTTGTGGATGACCTGCTGAATAAGGAGAGGGTGTGCGGTACGAGCTTGTGGAAAATGCCCAAGAGGGAGGTGTTGGAGGATTTGGAGGTCCTCGAGCCGAGATCGACGAGTGATGTGGAGGCGATGCTGGAAGAGGAGGAAGAAGAAGAAGAGGAAGAAGAGAAAGGAGAAGATGATGATGACGCCGGCAATGGAAGGAATGGAAGAGAGTCGGCGTCGGATGGCGAGGTTTCGGAGAGTGCCGAGGAGAGGAGAGACGTCGATATGGATCGTGACCTGCGATCACGCAGCCGAGACCGCAGCCCTTGAGGGCATTGGGAGGCAATCATATCCTATCGCCAATTCCTCACCCACGCGTTTTCGCAATACGCACTACCCATAGCGTCCGGTGATGCAGCAGCATTGAGGCACCCATGGGAAGCTGTAGCCAAGACGGCGCCAACGGTGCCAGACTCACCACATCGAGCCACGAGAGATGCCGTTGACAACTCTAGCTTTCGAAACAATCACGAAATGAAGCTGAAGAAACTTTTTCTGAGTTCATGGGTCGTTGTTTAACAAGGCCGGTCTTCTCTCTCCCTATATATATGTATATAATGATACCCATGCAGATTGAACCAATGTCTACATAAATACACCTAAATCTACCATCCAATGCCAAACGCCCGAATCATCTATCTAAGCAAAGGGAGTGAAGAAGAGACAGACATAAAAGAGGAATAAAATACATGGGAAATCGCTTAGAAATGTCATATTGATACAGGCGCACGTTGCAACAGCTCGTGCGCTATGGCGAGCACCCGCCCGTCATCCCAGTATTGGCCGATGAGTTGCAGGCCTGCAACGGGACCAGTCTCTGGAGTTGCTCCCTTGACTGGTACCGGAATGCTGATACTAGGGAGGCCGGCAAGACTAGCCGGCACGGTAAACACGTCATTCATGTACGAGTCGACGGCCGTTTGGTGGTCGATATCCTCGATCAAGGGGGAAAGTCGGAGCGGTCGGGCAGAGCAAGAAGTCCACCTGCGGGGGTCCCTTCTTATCCTGGAGCGTGACTTGGTCGTCCATCTCGCTGAGGTCGAATTGCTCGGCCTCGTAGAGGGATTGCTAAGCTTGAAAACTCGGTCAAAGTCCTGTTGCACAAGCCTCCGCACTTTTTGTGCCTGGATGAAGAAATTGTCCATCTTGTCGGAGCTGAGCGAATACGTGCCGAGGAGGATGCGCCGCTTGACTTCCTCGCCGAATCCTTGGCCGCGCGTGTCCGAATAGAGCACCTCTCCCGCCCCGTCGCTGCCCTCGCCGCGGGCACCGTAGCGCACGCCATCGTACTTGGCGAGGTTGGACGACGCTTCCGCGGGTGCGATGATGTAGTACGCGGGCAAGGCCAATTCGGTGCGCGGAAGACTGACGGGGACGATCTTGGCGCCCCATTCCCGGAGGGCGTCGGCGGCCTCGCGCCACGCGTCGTGGATGAGGGGTGGAGCTCCTTGATGCAGTACTCTTGGGGATCCCGATGGTGATCTCGGCGCGGGCGTGGGTGGACTTGAAGTGGTTCTCGAGAGGGAACGGCTTGTTGTTGTGTCCGTGAGTTTCGGCACATCGCTTGCGGGACGCGTCGGTCAAGGACGTGGGGTCGTTGGGGTCGTGTTCACGGATCAGCCCAGAGCCGATGATCAAGTCGTACACGCTCCTGACGTCGCGCGCAAAGAACCCAACCGTGTCGAGCGAGTTTGCGTAGGGCACGACGCCGAACCGCGAGAGCATCCCGTAGGAAGGTTTAAAGCCAACAGTGCCCGAGTACGCCGCTGGCAGGCGAATCGACCCTCCCGTGTCCGTTCCCAGCGCGACGTCGGCCTCGAGGAGCCGTACGGCGACTGCGCTTCCGCCGGAGCTTCCGCCGGCTGACCGGGGAGCTGATGCGTCGAAGTTGGGATTCGTTACCGGGCCGTGGACCGAGTTGACCGAGTGGGAGCCCATGCCGAACTCGTCCATGTTGGTTTTGCCCACAAAGGCACCGCCGCGGTCACGTAGCTGGCGGACAATGGTCGCTTCAAAGGGGGACTGGTAGGAGCGGAGAAAGGCGGAGGCGCAGGTGGTCGGGGAGTTGAGGGTCGCGATGTTGTCCTTGACTGCGAATTTGAAGGTGGAATCGGCGGGTTGGTCGTCGGCCGGGACTTGTCAGTTGATGATGTGTTAGTGCGACGGCGCGCAGCAGCGAGTTATCCAAGGGCACTGATCCCTGATAGAGGCGATATCACGAGTGGGAGAAGAGGAAAGGACAAGAAATCGTGTGTACCTTTGTGGACAAAGTGGTTCGTCGTCGAGGCCGCGCGCCATTGCGTCAATGACGAACGCTGTCGACCGCGATGAGACGCCGGAGTGCGACATGCTCGGAGACGAGGGGCGTACATGCCTCCAGATGGACGCAGCCCGGCGCGATATGGTCGGGTTCAGGGAGGAGGAAACGAAGGGATGAGATTTAGAAAACTTTTACTTTTGGTCCAAAACTCATTGCTCGCTCCTCAAAGGGTGAATGAAGGAGACGATATGACGTAGGTGTAGAGGTAGGAGCTGGGAGCTCGAGTGCCTGTCCCAAGGGAAAAATTCCCCTGGCCTAACTAACCCCGATTAAAACTGGATCGGACTTGCCTATTATGGACTGTTAAGTTGATCGACAGCAAGAAACACTAAAAGCCCGTATAGCTCAGTGGTAGAGCGCATCACTAGTATAGCTAGTGTAATGATGAGGTCCCCGGTTCGATCCCAGGTGTGGGCACTTCTTTTGCTCCCTTTTGCCTTTTCCGATACTTGTTGCTGACGCATTATCCCACCCAACAACAAACAAACCGCACACAAACACCTAATACCTTTTTTCCCTCCATGATCCACACCAAAAGCGCATACATGCTCCATGCTCCATACCTAGCCATCCACTAGTTAGATTTTTTGTCCACTTGGATCTCGACTTCCATGAATCCCATATTGTTGCTCTCTTCGCCGCATCAATATCGAACTTAGTCATTCACCGGCCTTGTGGCCTAATGGTAAGGCGTTAGATTTCGGCTCTAAAGATTGTGGGTTCGAATCCTACCGGGGTCGTTTGACTTGATTCTTTTCTTTTTTCCTCTTTGGTTTTTCTTTTTGTTTTTAACACTCTGACTGTCTACCTCTTCATCCCGACTTTCCTCCAATCCCTCTTTCTTTTTCGTCGCAGACATCGTCCTCCTTACTCGGTACATGCCGAGTTAGGTAGATCCCTCGTGCTTGATCGAACCATGGATACTGCAGAAGCCCCTCTTCGCCGTATATCCCCATCTTGGGACATAATATATCTGCAGCCACCTATGCTCGCGAATCCTGTCTGCACGCCGTCTTCTCCAGTGACGGAAGCCGTCCATGGCCACGTCTTGCCAAGCAATCTCGTTTCCTACAGTTAATCTCTCTATCTGTCTGAGAAGACACTCATCCGGATAGCTCAAGGACTTCTTCTCCCTCCCCCAAAGCCTATGTTCTTTCCCACGTATACCACCAGTCCATATGTAGATGCAGTGTCTTGACCTGGCCGTCTTCTCGCCCGCGTTCCTATCAATGTGGCCGGCTTTTGGCGACCGTACCGGCGGTCCCTTGCCGAAGCGGACAGCTCTTGAGAACAAGGGCCGCTAAGGCGGCGCAAACGTGACATTCAACAACTTTCCATCAATCAACTGAATCCAGAGGACCCCAATCAGCCCCTCTCTCTCCCCACATCGTACACTCCACGACCCCCTCCCTCCCCTTTGCACCAACCTGGTCACATTCAGCCCTCCCCGAGAAATGGATCCCTTTCCGCGAATATTCTATAATTTGTTAATTTCCGGCCCCTGGGTAACAAGCACAACTCGATAGTACGGCCCGTATAGCTCAGTGGTAGAGCGCATCACTAGTACTAGCTAGTGAAATGATGAGGTCCCTGGTTCGATCCCAGGTGTGGGCATCACATCAAGTTCATCTTTTGCCCCGCTTGCATTCTCTTATTACCTTTTCTTTTTTTTTTTTTTTTTCCCTTTCGTTTATTGCAATTCGCGTCTTTGACCTTCCTCCTCCGTGCCGTTCAAGCCCGGGTTCGTTGCCGTATATCAACCCTTCTTTCATTGTACATAAGGGAGAGTGAGGCAGATCCGAGTAGGCTGTGTGGCCGATGGCTGTAAAGACATGCGTGATAATAACTCTGATTATATATATATATAGCGTGATAGCATCTCTAAGGAAGCTTGATTCTATCGTAACCCATCATTTTCTATCGTTTCTGTCATATATACGAAGTGCAAGCAGAGGAAGGCGGTCAGTCCTCTTCTTCCTTTTCCACTTTAGTTTGTGTGTGGTCTTGTTCCTACACCATCCAACACTCGACAGCCTCCGCCTCGATTGGGATGAGGAATTTGGCCTGAAGGAACAAGTATCGCAGGCCTTTGGCAGCGAGATGAGTTGCTTTCTTCAGCCCCGATAGCCGCCTTATCTCGACGCGAGCATCGTCGTTGTCGAGCACTACGAGGTAGAATAAACACGTCAATCAGCGCGAGGAACTAAGGTCACCTTTGCCCGATAGGCACGAAGAGTACACCGCAACAGAGAAACTTACACCGACTGTAGTCCCGTCGGGTGGGTCTAAGTGTTTTCCGCTGGCGCGCGAGAGGTCGGAGACGATAGCGTGTAGTCGACATGGTAACTCTTGACGAAACTCTGCGCCTGGGCAGCAACTTTTTCTGCAGCCCCGAACGGTGATCACTGTCGATCGGGTGGGCGTTGCTTTGTTTTTCGCCTTGCCCAACGCCTCGGGGTCAGAGAGACTGCACGGCGACCGGGTCGATTCGGGGCCCGGGAACACCGCAGGGCTCTGGTTGACTTACACACTCCGCCTGACTTGGGAAGGCGGCGAGGTGTTGCAAATAGATGATTTCAACAAGTAAGAAGAGCCCAACAAAAAACTTGGAGGTCAAGTTGATTATACGAGGATGGAAAGAGAAAAGAGTATGGCTCTAGAGAAGCCGCAAATGCCCTGGACGGTTGCACATGCGAGGTAGAGCAGCTGAGAAGCGACCCGTCCTCTTTTCTTTTCCCCCTTCCTTCTTCTCCCTTTACATCAGCTCCATGTATGTATCACTGTTGCGGCGAAGGCTTCTGGCCCAACCCGCGAGAGGCTCAGGACGCGCGACTTGATACCGAGTAATAAGCCATGGTCTGAGGTGCCACAGACAACGGACCTCGCTTGTCCATACAAAAGCAACCCATCGACCCTGGGGGCTGATGAGGATTGGCAAAGTTGGTCGAGGCCAGGTTTTACAATTGGGACACGCTGTTTCAAGTGAGGTGCTGCTTTCTTCTGAATCCAACATCTGCATTACATATATATGTACACAGCTTACGTTGGTGCTTGCTCTCTTAATCACCATTCAGCGCGCGAGGGAAGTGAGACTCGTCTGAGTCGTTCTTTTCCTGTCGGTGAGAAAAAGGCGATGGTCGGGAGAGGGCTTGTTTTGACTCCCACGAGGAGAGAAGAATCCTGTTTGCGGAGCTTCACGTATCACCGCGGATGGAAAGGTCGCTAGGAAATGGCACCCGACGGGTAAGCTTGGGAAGCCGCCGCCATAGCTAGAAGCAGCCCGTTGTCGTCAACCTTGGTGTTGCCGGGATTGTGTATGCTCAGAGGTGCCCCACCTCCGTGTATTTCGTGGCTGGCGCATGCCATCAAGTAACGCAGCATTAACTTGAAGCCTCTAGACCGCGGTCTGCACGATTTAATTGCTTTTTCAATCCTCCTCTGTTCATCTCATCCGGCCGATCACGGGTGCCCAACAGATTTTCCTCAAGGTTATGGAAAGAGGTAGCCCTAAAAAAGAAAAGAAATCCCTGGCCAGCGTGGGAGGTGGGAGGGTTCAGTAGAACTTGTATCTCTTCTTTTTTGGAAGGGGTTTGATGTATCTTCCAATATATCCACAAAAAGTGACAGCACGGCCGGGGATTTCGAGGATGTGGGAGACACGTCCTGGCTGGTTTCGAGAACGCGAATATGAGGATGTGGGAGCCTACTGGGTTAAGCTGGAGCTCACCCAGAGGATTATTGAAGGGGAATTCTTGTTTATTCACACAGTGTCGCCTCTTGCCCCGCGAGTATCACTGGGGACGTCACGTTCATTATATACACAGTGTGAGCCTGGTTCGAGATCCCCCACCAACGAAACACAACAGCCGCATCAGTGGATCCATAGATCCTGCTCGTCATAGCACTTGCCTTAATATCCTGGAGCAAACATGCCGAAGACATCCTGGGGACGTCTTGAAAATCATCGCCCAATATCTATATAATCACCGCGCATTATGCTGAGAAAGCGCCTCGTGCTCTACAACCTTGTCTTGGGCATCGCCCAAGTCCAGGCCGAGCAGCCCGGCTCGGCGCGGCCTGAAGGCGGAACTTCGAGACCTGGCCTGGGGCCAGCTCAACTTCCTCCACACGACGGACACGCATGGCTGGCATGCCGGCCATCTCCAAGAGTGAGTGTTCCCTTTTCTTCCGTCGTGCGCGCGAGTTTGCATAACATAGCTGGGGCCTTCCACTCCCGTCTTATGTTGCGGAGGCGAAGAGGCGAATAAGGAAGTTTTGTTTGGCTGACTCGATCTGCGTAGGGCTCAGTATTCCGCCGACTGGGGAGATTATGTTTCTTTCGCCCACCATATGCGCAAAAAGGCCGACGACAATAACGTCGATCTCCTCGTAATCGATACCGGCGATCGAGTCGAGGGCAACGGGCTGTACGATGCTTCCAACCCCAAGGGCCTCTTCACCTACGACATTTTCAAGGAGCAGAATGTCGACATCATCTGCAGTGGAAACCACGAGTTGTATAGATCGGAGACGGCGGAGCGCGAGGTCACGCACAACATCCCCAACTTCAAGGGTCGCTACCTCGCTTCCAACCTCGACTACATCAACCCCAAGACCGGCGAGCAGGAACCCATGGCCCAGCGGTATAGGAGGTTCAAGACCAAGAACCAGGGGATAGACATCGTCGCGTTCGGTTTCCTCTTCGACTTCACCGGAAACGACAAGAATACCGTTGTCATCCCCGCGAGGCAGGTGATCAAGGAAGAGTGGTTCCAGAACGCCATCCGCGAGGATGCGGACGTCTTCATCATCATCGGCCACGTCGGGCTCAGGATGGAAGAGCTCAAGCTCATCCACCGCGCGATCCGTCAGGCTAACTGGAACAGCCCGATCCTGGTTTTTGCCGGCCACGCGCACGTGCGCGATGCGGTCAACTTCGACGCCAAGGCCGCGGGTATCGCCAGCGGCCGGTATTTCGAGACGATTGGATGGATGTCGGTCGAGGGTCTCAAGACGAAAGAGAAGAACGAGGTGGAAGACCGCGCCCTCAATGCCGGTCTCAAATTCCACCGCCGCTATATCGACAACAACGTCCTCGGCATGTACCACCACAGCGGCTTGGATGGGGAAACCTTCCCCACCGAGCACGGGCGCAATGTAAGCGCGGCCATCTCGCGCGCGCGAAAGGTGCTTGACCTGGATTACAAGTATGGATGCGCGCCAAAGACGCTCTGGCTCACCCGTGCCGCCCACGATGGGGAGGATAGCATCTTTACCTGGCTGAACGAAACAGTCCTTCCCGATGTTGTGACCAAGAAAGGAAGGGAGGAAAATGCGCGGGTAGCCATCTTCAACACTGGGGGCATTCGCTTTGATATCTTCAAGGGCGCCTTTACGCGCGACAGCACCTACCTCGTCAGCCCTTTTATCAGCACCTTGAAGTACATCCCCGATGTCCCCTACGATGTCGCCCGCAAGGTCATCACGATTTTGAACAGTGGCGGCCACATCTTTTCTGGCAGCGACCTGGATCCCAGGTACATGGCCCTACCGCAAAAGTGGGCAGGCAAAGACCTGCGCCAGGCGCCCACGATGCCGGGACCCCGGCTGGAGCTGAGAGGCGATTCTGAGCAGATTAGGCTTTCGGGCGATGGCGAGGGTAGCAGGGACAAAGATAAGGACAAGGACAAGGTTCGCACGGAGGGTTATACTACGGAGGACGACTTTGGAAAGGATGGCGACGACACGGTCCACGCGCCTGTGCCCTACTTCAACGTGCCCAACTGCATCCAGAGCGAGATTGGCTTCCCCGAGAAAGACGACCCGGAAAAGGTGGACCTTGTCTTTATCGAGTTCATCACCCCCTTCATCCTTCAGGCCCTCACGTTCGCTGGGGGAATATGGCCCCAAGGACGTCGAGTCGTACTCTAAAGAGACATTTACCGAGCTCATGGCGGGGTGGATCAAGAAGAATTGGAAGTCCGACTGTTAAGCTACGGCAAAAATGTCCGCGTCGCCATTCTGCCCTCCTGGCACCAGCTCTTGGAACAGCTGGGTTTTTCCTTCGTTTTTATTTCGTTTCGGTTTCTCTCTCTCCCTTCCATCATCTTGCCTTTCTTCCCCTTGCTACTTACTCTTTGCCCGCTGTTTTCTTGGATGGACCTTGCGGATTGGCGCTTTTTCTCACACCCTTGTGTTTTTCGCTTTCGTTTTGTGTCCTTTTTGTTTGCAACCAGGCTTTTTTTGGTCCTCGGAAACACACGAAAGCCGCGCCCCGGTTTACGGTGTCGACGACGACAGGCGTATTGTACCGCAGGAGCTACATCGCACCCGGAGCATATTATACCAGATACGAGCTTTATTAGAATAGTTGGAGAATCAATCATATGGACGAACCTGCAGCATTGGGTCTGTTCGGTCCACGATGAATAACACGGATCTCAAGTCGCTAGACAACCTGATGGCATAATTCGCATGAACAATTCAGGTGAATGAGTTCTAAGGCCGCTGTTGCGCCAAATGCAACAAACATGGAAGGGCTTATGCCATCATTTTTCGGCGCGAAGAAGCAATCCGTTTATATGAGAAATTTGTCATATTCTGGTGTTTAGCTGCAGGTAGACCATATCCACTTCCGCCAAATTTGGTCTCTTGATTCGAAAGCTTCATCAAGACTCGAGATGCATATTTAGAAAGAAGCGAGATCGGATGCTTCCGACTGCTAAATCGCCCGCTCGATGAATGGGTAGCCTTTGAGAGCAGCTTGAAGCGCAGGGTCTGATAAACAGTCGAAGCAAGCTCTGGGCAGCGATAACGGAAATGTCTTGGCGACGGCGGGTTCCGCCGCGGACCTGGTTCTCTCGAGGAGTGGGGAGTGGACTAGGCGAGTGCTTCCTTGGCGAGAGGAAGTGGGATGCATGAGCTTATCAGCCTTATCAAGAAAAAGCTCACGTCAAGCTGGGCCACGGCTGATAAGACCCTTGCGCTCTCACTGGGTCCCAGCCTTTTCCTCTTCCCCACGGAATTTCCAACCGGGACAGCTTATTTCTCCAAACCAATTGAAGTGCTTCTGAATGCGAGAAAAGCCGTTTAATTGTGGAGCTGAGGTCTCCCACTTCCTCAACGCGACGATAATAATCCGGAATGGTTCGCGCCTGGGCCTGAGCGAGCCATGAGAAGGAGTTCTGCCTCCACCCACTGGGATCCCACTCGCTGGCCAATGATCAAGCCTGGCAAAGTCTTATCTCGTCCTCGACCATGGATGCTCTATTTAGAATGAATCTCCACCAAGAGAGCAACACCCAGTCATAGAGCTCCACTGCCTTGGGCCCCTCGTGTGCCCGGCGAGATGACAGGCATATCTCCTAACGCGGCCAAGACCCAGCTTCCGGGGACATGAACAACGCCGACCAGGGCCTAGGAGTTTATTAAGCCCCCTCATGATAGTATAGTAATAGTACTTCGAGTCCGAAAAGGCACGGGAGAGCTAGCAGAACACGGTCAGAGTCTTCCGGTGCCCCACCAAGACCGCATCCCACACTTTGCGAGAGGAGCCTTTCCTTGCCCGATGTAGGAGGCTTTCGAGATTTAGCTCCTAGTGGAGAGCCGGCGACTGCCAAGGCTGGGACTTTTTGCGGCCCATCATCCCCCACTGCTTACACTCTCGATTCTTTTTCCCAATGAATGTGACAAACAGAATGATCTTGGCTTCCATGTCTTGGCAGTCGAGTGGCCAATCCCGTGTGCCGCATTCGTGCTCAAGGGATCGATATCGAAAAGAAAGCTGGGACATCCATGTGCCGCCAAGGTGGATTCTCTATCAATTGATTTCCAAGACTCCTTCCTATTACTCTCCTGGGGCGACACGGAGGAGGGGATCCATGAGTTGAGGCGGGAAAGTGAAACAGGTCTTGGGCTTGGGAGGCTTGTCTCAACGACTATATGAAGCTCCTGGTATCCCCTTGATCGAACCTTGGAGATGTTCTCGTCCAGATCTACAGATTCAATAAAAGTTCAACTTCAAAACGAGGGCGATCTTCACCCATTTCCTCTGGGCTCATTCCTTTATACACCACGACTTGACCAATCCTAACGCATCACTGATCCCGTGTATCAAACCCACCTCCTCTCCAATAGCGAAAAGCACAGCGCCATGTCGACAAAGACAGCTCCCCTCAGCCAAGGGGTAGGCTATGGCGTGATATTAGGTGTTGGCTTCTTTTCGCCATCTCAATGGTAAGGAGTTGGAACCCACCCAGAAACCGTTTTTCTCCCCTCCTTTCCCCGTTCCTAGGGGACCCGCCTCCTCGTAGCTTTCCCGCCAGCGCCTTACAGGGCACCACGAGCTGCCGTGGTGTCCGGCCCCTTCTCTCCTGGGAATGGCGTTGCCGCTTGCCAGATGTGGTCCCCGTTCCGAGCCATGCCGCGTTATACTAGCTCTAACACACTTGGCTATTTGTCCTTATTAGATTGCCACCACATACATTCTTAAGCGCTTCCGCCGCGAGGTGCAGACATCGGAGATGTTCTCCACCGCCGGTAGGTCCGCCAAGAGCGGTCTCGTCGGCTCGGCTGTCGTGTCCTCGTGGACGTGGGCCGCGACCCTTCTCCAGAGCACCGGTGTCTGCTACCGGTACGGCGTCTCGGGACCCTTTTGGTACGCCTCCGGCGCCACCGTGCAGATCTTGCTGTTTGCGACCCTGGCCATCGAGTTGAAGAGGAGGGCACCCAATGCGCACACATTCCTGGAGGTTATCAAGGCGAGGTATGGCACTGCTGCCCATGCCGTTTTCATCGTCTTTGGCCTCGTTACAAGTAAGTAGTGATACCCGCCGTACCGCTTCAAAGGAGGATGGCAACTAACATGATTGTGTTTTTAGACGTTTTGGTTACTCTGATGCTACTGACTGGTGGAAGCGCCACCGTCAACGCGCTTACGGGTGTTCCTACTGTCGCTGCCATCTTCCTCCTACCCCTAGGTGTGACGATGTACACGTTGATCGGAGGTCTCAAGGCCACTCTTTTGACTGATTACATCCACACCCTCATGATGTTGATCATCATCATCATGTTTGCTTTCACCGTCTACTCCACATCGGACCTTTTGGGTAGCCCGGCCAAGATGTACCAGCTTCTCAAGGAAGCCAGCGAGGCTCATCCTGTGGAGGGTAACGAGCAGGGTAGCTACTTGACCATGCGATCGAGCAACGGTATCAAGTTCTTCATCATCAACATTGGTAAGTAGTCTCGGGATAAGGCATGGTTTTCTACGCGACGTGGACTTGATTACTGACGGGTTATGCAGTCGGCAACTTCGGAACCGTCTTCCTTGACAACGGCTACTACAACAAGGCTATTGCTGCTAGCCCTGTCCATGCTTTCCCTGGCTATGTCATCGGCGGTGTAAGTCTTGAAGTTTTTCCGCCAAACCTGCGCCGTTATCTAACTGAAGAAAACAGATCTCTTGGTTCCCCGTGCCCTTCTTGACGGCCACCACCATGGGTCTCGCCGCCCTCGCGCTCGAGTCCAACCCCATCTGGCCGACCTACCCCAACCGCATCCCCGAGGCCGAGGTGTCTGCTGGCTTGGCCCTACCCTACGCCGCCATTGCCCTCCTCGGCAAGGGAGGCGCTGCTGCGACACTCCTTTTGGTTTTCATTGCCGTCATCTCCTCTTTCAACTCGGAGCTGATTGCCGTGTCCTCCATCCTGACGTATGATGTCTACCGCACCTACATCAACCCCAACGCCAGTGGCAAGCGCCTCATCACCATCTCCCACGCCGTCGTGATTATCTACGCCCTCGTGGCTGCCGGAATCTCCGTCGGTCTCTACTACAACGGTGTGAGCATGGGCTACCTCTACGTGCTCATGGGCGTGCTCATCTCCGCCGCCGTCCTTCCCGCCACCCTCACCCTCGTCTGGAACGGCCAGAACAAGTGGGCCGCCGCCCTGTCGCCGCCCATTGGCGCGGCCATGGCCATCACCGCCTGGCTCGTCACTGCCAAGAAGACGTGCGGCCAGCTCGACGTTGCCTGCACGGGCCAAAACGACCCCATGCTCGCCGGCAACGTCACTGCCTTGCTGTCGCCTGCGCTCCTGATTCCCGTATTCACCCTCATCTTTGGTCTCGCCAAGTATGACTGGCAATCTATGCTCCAGATCCGCAAGGCCGACGACGTTGACGAGAAGGGAGAGGTGATTATGAACCCGAACGATGTCGTTGCTGGCGACGAGGAGGCGAGGTTCCAGGATGAGCAGAAGATGCTGAAGCGGGCTCTTCGCATCGCCGTGAGCATCACCATCTTTATGTAAGTTTCCGCATCCTTCTCCTTGCCTCGTATCATACCTTTCCCATATTCGATGTCGGGAAGAGGCGAAAAAAGTAGAAGCGTGCGTGCTGACAAGACTCGATTTCCACAGGACTATTGCCCTTCTCATCCTCTGGCCTCTCCCCATCTATGGAAGCCGCTATGTCTTTAGCCAGTCCTTCTTCACCGGCTGGGTTGTTGTCGCCATTATCTGGATTTTCATCTCGCTGGCTCTCGTAGGAATCTACCCTCTTTGGGAGGGCCGACACACGATCATGAGGACTATTAGGGCCATTACCAAGGGCGGCGAGCCTCCGGTAGGCGGCATCATTGTGCAGGAGTCCCGGAGAGCACCTCCGCGTCTGGGACTGCGACCCCTACTAAGAAGGGAGATCAGTAATGGAGACTCATATAAGAGGTAGGTGGCCAAGTGAAGGTCTGCACGGTTGGTGTGCGGACACGGTAGCGATGTAAATTCGGTTCTCGTTCTTTCTAGTCTGGTATTTTGAAGATGATATCCCAAGCAAAGAAATCATGTAGAGGTTTCTAGCTCAAAAATTATGATTATTTATTTGATTACTTTTATCTCACCGGTCCGTTAAACGAGTGATAAGCACTGCATTTGATTTTATAGTAGACAACAATATACAGACTAGAAAATGAACCAGCATACTTAATACTTGGGAAAGGGGCTCAGGAAATGTAAGCGGGATCCGTATGTTCAGATCGTGAGATCAACGCCCACAAGGGGCCAAAAATCAACGCTATAGCGGGTCAAAATAAATCCAGATAGTTGAATAAAACTATGATATGACTGGAATGGATTCCAAGGAATTTCGATTGAAATATTCTTGACATGAAATTCATCAAATTATTTGCCTTGGCGATTTGCCTTATTATGCTTCGGACCTTCTTCTGGGTGGAAACGACGCTTACCGAGCTCACCGACATTGCGGTGACAGGGGTATGTTGAAGGCATGAGTAAGCGGCTGGCGCCACCTGCTTCCCGACCTCTCGCAAGGCAGAGCTTTGGTTACGACAACAGCCTCACCCGCCTTCCAGCTCCTGCTGCTAGTTCATTGTTCAAATCCCCCAATCGCCATCAACACACCCCACGACTGTCAGCTACCACGCACAAAGGCTGTTCTGAAACCCTTCTTTCCCAGCGAGGTAGAGAATCGAAGCTTCCGAAATTCCCATATCCTCTGTCCTTAGTCGATACCGCTCGCCATGGCCGAAGCTGCTCTCAAGCCGGAGAAGGACTTCTCCAAGCAGGTTGACGAGCTGCTTCCCAAGGCCGAAGAACTCGCCCAGGTACATATCTTCTACCACGATGTAGTAAGAGTAATCGCACGGAATTTCTGACATTGATAAACTGCAGACCGACTTGCAAGGGGCTGTTGAAAAGCTCGGCGCCCTCGAGAAACAAACACGTCAGGTTAGCCCGACCCGCCAACGGCCTTGCATGGCCACCAAAAAAATCTACGAGCATCATTCAACCTAACATTTGACGGCGTAGGCATCCGATCTTGCATCCACATCGCGAGTACTCATCGGGGTCGTTACGATATGCAAAAATGCGGGCGATTGGAGCTTGATGAACGACCAAGTCCTGGTGCTCTCCAAGAAGCATGGGCAGCTCAAACAGGCCATCACCCGAATGGTTCAGACCGTTATGAAATTCCTCGATGAGACGCCTAACCTAGAAACGAAGCTTTCCGTCATCGAAGCCCTGCGTACCGTCACCGAGGGCAAGATTTTCGTCGAAGTCGAGCGTGCGCGCGTGACCAGAATCCTCTCCGATATCAAGAAGGAACAGGGCGATGTAAAGGGTGCCACCGAGGTTCTCTGCGAGCTTCAAGTCGAAACCTTTGGCTCTATGGATAGGAGGGAGAAGGTCGAGTTCATCCTGGCCCAGGTCGCCCTCTGCATTGAGATTGGCGACTGGACCCAGGCGGGCATCCTCAGCCGCAAGATCAGCACCAAATACCTCGCGCGAAAACTAAAGAAGACTGCCGAGCAGCTCGAGAAGGAAAAGAAGGAAAAGGAGAAGAGGAGGCTTCGAGGAGAGGATGTTCCCGACGAAGTTGTGGATGACGTGACGGATCTCAAGCTCCGATATTACGAGCAACAAATCATCCTGGCCAAGCATGACAGCAAGTACCTTGACGTCTGCAAGCACTACAGACAGGTCCTGGATACGGAGGCTGTGGAGGAGGACCCTTCCAAACTTCATCCGGTACGTTCGCGATCGCTGTTACCATGCTGTTATCCCTCTGCCGTCTTCCCTATCCACGTATGCTAACCTGGTCCTCGCTTTAGGTTCTGCAACGAATCATTTACTTCGTCATCCTTGCCCCCTATGATAATGAGCAGCACGACCTCCTACACCGAATTCTCCGGGACACCCGAAACTCTCAAGTTCCCCTTGATGCCGAGCTCCTGAAGCTTTTCACCGTCCACGAACTTATGCGCTGGCCCGAGGTCTCGAAGAAGTTTGGACCTCATCTCTGCGACACGGACGTCTTCGATGTCAAGGAGGGCTCCGACGAGGAGGCCCATCAGCGATGGAAGGATCTCCGAAAGCGAGTCATTGAGCATAACGTCCGTGTTGTTGCCAAGTACTACACTCGTATCCAGATGGGCCGCCTCACTGAGCTCCTGGATCTCGCCGAGGACGAGACGGAGAAGTATATCAGCGAGCTGGTCACATCCAAGACCGTATACGCCAAGATTGATAGGCCTGCGCGGATTGTCAGTTTCGCCAAGCCTCGTGATGCGGACGACATCTTGAACGAGTGGAGTTATAACATGAAGAGCCTATTGGGCTTGCTCGAAAGGATTGACCATCTCATTACCAAGGAGGAGATGATGGCTAATATCCAAGCCAAGTCAAAAAGGCGAGGTAAAGAAGGGTTCTGTTTGTGGGGGAGTGCTGATGGAGAAGTACAGCGGTAACGAACAGTGGCTAAGGGGCTGACAAGGACTTCTGATGAGTCTTGTGAGGATGGAGTATGCGTGTGTACTAGTAATTCAAGCTAGAGGTGTCCTGCTTATGGACTGATGTTTACCGTTCATAGAAATGGTTGGCTTGGGAACAGGAGTGTCTCGTCCTTTTACTATCGCCCGTGACTTGTAACTGTTGGCCTAGACAATGTAGTTTGGATGGTATCTTGAAGTGTATTCTTTACGTCTATGTCTATCTTCTGGTCTTCTATTATAATGCTGTCTAAATACCTATGACAGCTTGGGGCTGTCCTTTTCTTCGAGTTGCTCCGCAAACTTGCGGATGAAGCCTGTGATGGGCATCATCCATTCCCTTGTAATGGGCACATAATGGCCGCCGGGATGCAGGGCCTCCAGCGGGTCCACGCAGCGCTCGACGAGCCCTCTGCTGCGGGCCTCCTCCACCACTGTATCGAGACCGCCAATGTAGTGCAGGGTCGGGGTGCGGATGGCGGGCTCATACAGCCACTGAACCTCGTCCACGGGCATGAAGAAGCCCGAGTACACGACGGCGAACTGGAGGGGCCGGCCCGCGTTGGCCTCCCTCAGCGCGGCGGCCCACCCTTCGGCGGCGGCGGGAGGCTTCCTCGCATCGGGGCCGGCCTCGAGCGCGGCGGCCACCATGGCAGCGACGGCGCCGCCCTGGGAAAGCCAACGACGCCGTGCACGCCGCCGGCGTCGGCGATGGCGCGGGCGACGGCGCGCATGCCCTCGTCGAAACCGAAGAGGGTCGGGGTAGCGGCGTCGCGGCGGAACCAGGCCCAGCTGTCCAGCTCATCGTCCTCGGGGGCGGTGTGCTGGACGTCTGAGGCGGGGACGAAGCCGGGGATGTCGGAGGGGCGGAGGCGCATGGGGGCGGTGGGGTAGTGAAGGGTGAGGGAGGCGTCTAGCGGGGCGAGGGACTTGGCGAGGAGTTTCTCGAGGGCGCGGGTTTTGGCGCGGAAGAGGGGGCCGGACTGGGTGTAGCCTGGTGTTTGCCGTCCGCCGTCCGACAGGGGAAGGGGGTGGTTCTTAGTATTTGGTTTGGTCTAGTAGGGGGTGCCGTGCTGCCTCGGCCCTCTTTTTCTTTCTGATTCTTTGCGATCAGAAGGGAAGGGAGACGGACGTACCGTGTAACATGAGAACCTTGAGCTCCTTCTTCGGGACCTTGGGGGCCTTGGGGGCTCTTTGGTTCTGCTTGCTAGGCTGGGGCTTTGTAGAGGCCGGGCGGGAGGGCCCGCTCTCGGAGGGTGGGTGTGGGAGTGTCCGACATGGCTCTTGCGAAACGGAGAGTGGACGGGAGTCGGATGGTGGTGGCTGCACGGGTCAACCTTGGTAGCGGTTGATAAAGGGCTAACATGAACGGGAAGTGGAAAAAGAATATATCCCCCTGACAACAGGGAACTGTTCTGGATTGGGGGAGCAAATGCTCTTCTATCGTAGCGTCCGGTTGAGTCACTTCGCCGTCAAGTGTCACGTATCCTAGGTATACGTGGTGAGTGGGGCTTGATATTGAGGGGTGTGGTTGTGATGGTTTATAATCTTACTCGGTTGCTTAGAATGACAGGAATTACAAGACTAAGGAAGACTATAAGAAAATCTACGCCTTCGAGATAAATCCTAACCTTGGCACTGAAGCGACAAAGAAAAAGGGAAAAAAAGAAAGAAGGAGGGATGAGAAAGAAGTGAGGACTACAGAGGCTTCCTTCAACTGCTGGACTAAGTCGGAGATGGGGAGGGTGATAGAAGCTAAAAGACCCAGGCCCGGCAATTGCTACGGGTCACGTGAACAGCGCCGAGGTGGACCGAACTTGAAGACCGGCTCGGCTAGGGGCAGACGACGGGGGCATGTTTGCGTCAAGTTTTGTTGGTGATTTCACGAGGGCGAGAGGTATGTTACAGTAGATGATTGCTAGGAGGCGATGTTGCTTGTTGTCACTGCATGGGAAAGGCAACCGTGGATATGGGGAGAATCGCCGATTCCGGAACATAGCCGGGGATTCTGACTTCGACATTGAGAGGCACCACCACACGAGTGCTTGTTTGCTCGGATATGTGCAATTGGCTGCTAAGGCCAGGTCAATTGGCAGCAAGCTGCGGATATTTTGCGTCTATGATACAATTCCTCCCATTCCAGGAGAGTTGAGGACTCTGAGCGAGATGGGGTGATGAGAAAGTTTCTAATGCATGTCCGGCAGAATATCTTCCAGTTTAGTGAGCGGCGCCCGCGTTGGGGTTTCGGGGGTCGTTCTTCCACTCGGGGCCTGCGGTCGTTGTTAGAATTGATGCTTGCTTCACGGGAGGGGAAAAAAGGGTCCTAAGCGGCGAGAAAGGGTAGATGCGTACCGGCCATCATGGCATTTTGCGCAGAGTTGGCACCGTAGGCGATGATGAGGCCTGGTGATTTGAGTTAGCGGGCAAGTCCGGGAAGGCTTGGTGAGCCCATTGGCATGTTTGACAAATAGATTTCCTACGTACCAGCAATGAAGAAGGGAGCCATCGGCTTGACTGTTGTCGCGGTGAGGCTAGATTAGCTTTCGATGGTTCATCTGCGGGAGGGGAAAAATTCGCTCCGATCTGCCGACGAGGAATGGACCTACCGATGGGGCTGGGGAACTTCTTGAGGGGGTTAAACCGAACCAGGTCATCTTGACGGTATTGTGGGATGTTCTCGGGAGGACGAGGGAGATATGTGATTGTTGGCTGTGAGGGTCGACGAAGTGCTTGTTTCTCTCACGAGCTGTTTTTGAGGATTCGGCCTTCCGGCAAAGGCCGCGAGGCAAGATGTTGACACCTGAATAATCAGGTACGCAGATGACAGGCTTGGACGACTGATGGGAATGATGAGTCAGCGATTGGATTGGGGACTAGCTGGCAAGCGACGGCAAAACAACATGGGACGCACAGGTGACTTGATTGGACATGGTGCCATGCTGCGACAGGACTGGTTACGGACTCGCCTGACGCTTGCTGTATCATGTGACCAAGCCTAGCATCAATAACCCATTCAGCCCCCCGCGTAAGCTGTCCCGTTTTGGCCGCCCCTGATAATACAGCGAGTCCGATGGAGTCCCCGGCCCTATTGGACTCTGCAATTGGAGAGCTCTTTGGTATCCGGTCGTGGAGATAAGTAAACGGCTCAATAAGGCGGGGATTCGTGGGAAATCACAAGACTCATTACATCATGTCATGGCAGGGGTCGTTCATCGCGAACAGGTACCTCCAAATTGGCCCCGGCTCAACAGGTACCTTGGAAACAAGCTTAAGCTGTGGGTTTCGATGTCACAGCTCCCCTCTTCCAAGTATCAAGGCGTGAGTCCTGTCTGAAGAGCTATCGATCGCCCGTTTGCAAGGTTCCCCCTCCCCACCCGCGCCCACTTGTGCCCCTTCGCGCTATTTTGCTTCGAGGCTGGATGAAGCAGCCGGTCGTAAGCTTTCTGTAGTGTACCGTGCCGTGATTTGGCTGGCGTAGGCCGTCGCAGCCCGCTGTTCGCTGTTGCCCCCTCCCCGGGGTCGGCTCCCCCATTTAGTGTTGCCACCCCCAGCTTTCCCAAGCTCCGTGCTGGGGTTGATGTGTGTGTGTTGGAGAACAGCTGCCTTGCCTAGCTCCACCAGGATTCCACGAGAGTCTGAGACTTATTCCTGACTCGGACCAGGCGAATAGCTGGGCCCGTCGCCGTCACTGCGCAACTACGCACTCCGCACTACGCTACGTCCTGCAGCGTTTTTGTGCCTTGTCCTTGTCTCTCCCTCGTTCTTGCCAATTGATAAAAGCCACCTCCCCTCCCTTTTGCACTGTCTTCCCTCCCGCACCCTCCCTCTTCCTCAAAGGTCCAAAGGTCCCCCCTCCTTGCCAATTCCCTTGTCCTGTTGTACAACATCAAACTTCAAATTCCACTCTCCATCCACCCACTCCAACATCTCAAAGTGCGGGGTGACAACCACATCGGCAAGTTGTTGCATCACGTATCTCAAGCCTTCCACCCAATTAACTAGCACACCTACCCTCCCATTCACCGGTTTCTCTCAGTTACGCTTTGCATCCTAGTGCTCCATCGAACTCAAGGGAGCACACCCTTTGCGTCCGCCCCGTCTGCTTCAAGACGCTTCTCCTGTTGTAGAACTGCCTGCCTACCTCATTACTACCCGTCCGGGAACTCTTCCTCGCCGCTGCCGCCGCGCCCGCTGAGCAATCCAATCCAATCTCTTCGAATTCCAAGCACATACCTCGTCAACCCCTCACGGCACCCGAGTCGTGTTTCCTGGCCAGGGCTCGTTGTCTCTTTTGAACCGCTACCTGCTTTTGCCAGTGATTCACCTTGGGTTTTTCACTGAGGAGACGTTGCGATCTCTTTTGATCTGCTTTGTTTTTTTTCCCTCCCTTCTTCTCGCCCTCCATCCCTTCAATACAAGCAGCACCATTTCGACAATGATGCTTAGCGGAAAGCTTGCTCGAGCTGGCGCCAGCTCCAGCGTACGATGCCTGTCCACTACTGCGGCTCGCGCTACCAAGCCTCCCTCGATGGGCGACATCAACCCCAGTAACCAGAGCGTCGAAGAGTTCAACAAGAGGCAAAGGCAGTTCCGGGAGAAGCTTGCGGAGGCGCGAAAGGTCCGGGATGCAGGTGCGTTGAACCAGCAAGGCAATGAATCTGATAGTCATGTTCCGGGTCTCTCACAGGGCCTCGGCTCACTTAGCACTGCTGCCACAGAAAAGGCTGCGGAGCTCGCAGAACAGGAGCCCAACCGCAAGGCGGGCCGCTTGACCAACCTCATTTATGGTACAAAGGAAGGTAGGGAGATGGATGCCCAGATCGAGGCCAGCTTCAGCGCCGTTCTCGCTCGTGGCAAATACGTCCATTCCATTGTCTTCCACGAGGTCCAGCCCGACAAGGTCGAAGAGTATATTGAGCTCGTTGGTAAATGGTACCCTAAGATGGCCGGCGTGGAGAATAACAAGGTCCATCTGGTCGGAAGCTGGCGGACCGAGGTTGGCGATTGCGATACCTTTGGTAAGTTTCACCACATATTCCCTTTCTTGCCCATTCTTTTGTCTTGACTGCCCCCATTTTTCATGCTAGAAATCCTCACTTTTGCTCGTTCGAGTCTGTCAAGCTAATTTTCTTGCTCGCGTCTTCTATAGTCCACATCTGGGAGTACCAGCGATACCAGGGATACCACGAGTCTCGGAACCTGATTGCCTCTCACCCCGAATACCCCGATTTTAATAAGAAGCTCCGCAGTTTGATCAAGAATCAAAACACTTCGCTCATGCAGGAATTCTCCTTCTGGCCGACCACTCCTCCCCGACAGCTCGGCGGCGTCTTTGAGCTCCGGTCGTATACACTCCATCCTGGCAACCTTCTTGAGTGGGAGACCCACTGGAGGCGAGGCCTCAAGGCCCGTCGGGAAGTCATGGAGGGCGTAGGTGCCTGGTTCGTGCAGATCGGCGACCTCAACACCGTGCACCACCTTTGGCAATTCGCCAACCTCGAGGAGCGCAAGGTTCGCCGTGAGCAGAGCTGGAGCATCGAGGGATGGAGCGAAACCGTTCACAAGACGGTACCCTTGATTCAGACGATGAAGTCGAGAATCCTCATCCCTATGCCTTGGTCCCCGTTGCTTAAGCGGATGAGCGCTTCGTGGCTCGGCCCTAGATGGGGCTTACGGGCACGAATGTAGTATGACGTCAATCGACGTGTCTGGAACGAACAGTCTCTTTTTTCCCAGCGCGGAAACCAGACTTGTTTTTCTTGCATCTTTTGATGGGGAATTTTACCTCTCCACTATTATGCATACTACACCTTTTTTATGTTGTTATTTTTTTGTGCTCTTTTTAACTCACTGAACAAGCTAGCAATAGTATTTGTCTATGGCGATGGTGATGGCGGCGTTTGTGGACTCGCTTAATCGAGGCTTATCAGGTGTATGCATGCGCACATATCGATTTCCACACGTTTAAAGACGGGACAATAGCAAAGGCATTTGAAATTGAGATTCTCATGGCATCTCACTCCCTTGTGTGTTATTTCTGCTGTGTGGAAAAGGACGAGAATAATGAAACCACGCTCGGCGCTCCTCTATTGTGAAAGTGAAGGCTGTAATGAGGACTGGTAGTTTATAAAGGAAAGAAAAAAACCCCTAAAAAGAAAGAGAGAATCAAAAGAGGATGCAATCTCTACTAATCGCCCTCCTTGATCTCCAATATCCAACAAGAATCCCTTCAACTCCGACTCATACCTAACCCGAAGCCATTGCGCCTAGATAACCCTCATTCACCAAAACGCTTCCATGACCGTTGATGATTTCCTTCTTCTTCTTCTTCTTCTTCTTCTATCTCCTTGATGTTGGCTGAACTTGATGTCAACTTTTGTTTCCTGGCAGAAATCCGAGTCCTTGTGAGAGAGACTGTAGCAGACGGGATTTTACTCTTCGGATATCTTGGAGCCCGCTAGATTGGCTAGTACGGCCTCGAGGTTCTCTTCTATGCGGGAAAGGGTGGCGTGGACAGAATTAAGCTTGGCGGAAAGAGACATGAGCTTGGGGTCTGCGGTCTCGACGCGGACCTTTTCGCGTACGCGGACGGGGGTGTATTCGCCGGGAACGATATCCTCGACGTGGCCGGCGGAGGCGGCCGGAGAGGTCCGGACCTGGGGGGCGTGGGATCGGTGGGGGATCTCGGGGGCAGGTTGGGCTTGGGGCTCTTGGGGCCGGTATCCTTTTGGTTGAGGACGTAGTCGAAGATGAGGCCGGTTTCGTCGTGCTCGAGGCGGCGGACGGTGCCGATGGCGAGGCCGAGCATGGTGCCGAGGTGGACGGGGGCGTCGAGGGGTTCGAGGATGCGGATCCAGAGGACGATGAGGGAGTCTTGGAGGCCAAAGTACCAGCTGGCGTGGGGGCCGAGGCTGGGCTCGAAGGCGTCGGGGCAGCAGGAGCGGGTGGTCCAGGTGGTGTCGGGGTCTTCGCGGGGGACCCTTGAGGAGGGCGGCGGAGTCGGCGACGAGCTGGGCGAGGACGCGGAGCTGGGTCTTGATGAAGTTGGGGTCGGCGTCGAGGTCGAGGGTGGCGGAGATGGTGCGGATGGCGTCGTCGAGGTGGTGGGAGAGGGTGTCGAGCTGGGGCATGTGGATGGCGGTGGTGGGGCGGATGGTGATGGTTTGGGCGTGTTGGGTGTGGAGCTGGAGGTGGAGGTTCTGGGGAGAGGGGAGGGAGCGTGAGCGTGAGCGTGAGCGTTGGTTAGGTTCTGTGAGAGGGGAAGCTTGGCATACGGTTTTGACGATGCGGTTGCCGACGCGGGTGATGGTGCCCTTGACACTCTCGCGTCGCGGGGTGCTCATGACCAAGGTGCTCCCCGGCATGACGGGGCGAGGAGGGCGTAGCACTCATCGAGGGTGTGCTTGATCGGGGGCAGCTCCTTTTCGCGAATGTAGTCGACGAGCCAGGAAACGTGCTTTTTCTTTGGGTTGGTCGTGACTTGGATTAGCATTGTTGCTGCTGCTGCTGCCGCCGCTTCTGTTTCTACTGCTACCGGGCTACTGCTGCTTCGCGCGAGAGAGGTGGATCGTGGGGATAAGAGGTTGCGGGGACGGAGAGCAAGGAAGGACGAGGCAAGAGGAGTAGAGTAGAGAGAAACAGATGGTGGGTCAATGACGCTTGGGCTAGGTGGGCGTACCTTGTTGTCTTGTATAAGCTTCGCGCGCTCGTCGCCGGCCAGAGGAGGAAAAGGAAACGGGTGGATGGACATCTTGGACTACTTATGCGGGCTTGGGCTGGGGGCTGTCGACCGCCAGGCCTTCGCGATTGCGAATTGCGAGGATTGTGTGCTAGGCAACCATGTAATGCGATGAGGGGATTTCTAGACAAGAAGAAGAAGAAAGAAAAAAATAAAGGAAAGGAAGGGAATGGATCAAGCTCCGAGCTCAAAGGAGGGGGTCGGAGCACGTAGGTCGCGGTAGGTAGAGGGGAAGGTAAGGGAGCTCTCTCCACAAGATGCGTGGAGCAAAAAGTGAGGTGCAAGGTGGGCTGTTGCTGCTTGTTGCTTGCACCCTGACTGGTGTGGGTGGGTTCCAGAAAGTCGCTCAGAGGGGAGCTTCTGGGGTACCTGGGTACACGGGTACTTTTCCCATCATCATCGTGCAGCTCCAAGGGCGGTTTTCGGGAGAGCTTCAATTGGACCCTCTCAGGCTGCTTTTGAGCTTGGCTTGGGTGGACAGGGGGCAATTTACTGGTGCCTACTATCTTGTAAAATTTGAAATAGGCAGAGAAGAATCGAATATCTCTTCACCTACAATGGATGATAGCTGTACAATGCATTGATCCATGTATCCAACGACATTCTCTCCTTAGGCTCTGTCCCGACGGCCCTTCTCTCGCCTCCAAAAGGGCCTCTCCAAAATAATGCAAGGGCTACAATCGATGTAGGCTGAGCAGCCAGTCGCTGACACTTGACTCGTCACTGATGAATGACGAGTCGATCCTAGTCCCGCCTCGTGCCGCTGGTAGGACATCATGATTCAAACAGGTATCTGCCTTCCAGGTTGCATGGTAACCTTGATGTTGGCATTCCTCGTAGTCAACAACACCAGCCATCCCGTCTGGAGAGAATAACCAGTTCATTGTAGGTTCAATGTTGCTTGATCAATTGTATCAACGCTCATTATAAGACGTTGGGCTGTGGGGGCACCATTGGCTGGCCATCGATGGATGCACACTAAGCAAGAACAACAAGTGGGTCCTCGGCCTGACCTCACAACCAAACTTCTCACAGTCATTTGGTCCAAATATTGACGATACCTTGACTCTCCTCCGTGGCTCTCCTAGAAGAGTCCTACAGATATTCTTGAAGAAAGGCAGCAGTTCTATAAATCAGCGACGTGTCTTGAACTCGCCGGGCCCCAATCTTTCCTTGTGGCCAATTCACCAAATTCTCCTAGACCACGCCGTTTGAACCAGGGTCCCGCTCAGCGAGCATCCCTTCTTATTCATCTGCCTGGCCCAGGAATAGGCAAACCAATATCACTCTCACAACTCTTCAACCCCCAAGCCCAAAAAGAACAGGAGGGGCGTAAGACACCCAACACCCAACACCCAATCATGGCCCCCGCTCCAAGCACCAAACTCGCCCCCATCCCCAAGGGTATGTACTCTCCTCTTCTTCTCTTCCTTCCAGGCATAGACAGCTTTAGATGCAAAACCCTCCTCCTCCCACGAGCATTCCCTCAACTAACCTCCACAACCCCCCAACAGGCCGCAAGATCCAAAAGCGGCCCCTCCCCGCCAGCAACAACCCCCTTCCTCCAACGCCCGCCTCCTCTACGTGTCCTCTTCCACCCCCTCATGGCCACCGTCAAGCGCGTCCGCAAGCGCCTCGACAAGTCCGCCACCGGCGCCTCGGGTCCCCGCTCGCCAAGAAGATGGGCCTGAGCGCCCGCATCGAGGCCCTCCAAAAGGCGAGCGGGAAGAGCACCGGCGCCGGCGCCGGCGCAGAGGTCACCGTCCTCGGCACCGGCAAGGCCGTCGAAAAGACCCTGCGCGTCGCCAGCTGGTTCTCCCAAGAGCCCGACTGCCTCGTCTCCATCAAGACCAAGACCGTCGGCGCCGTCGACGACATCGTTGCCGTTGCCGCAGACAACGACGACGACGACGCCCAAGCGGAGGACGAGAGTCGCGTCCGGAAGCTGAGCTGCTTGGAAGTTACTATTAGCTTGCGATGAGGGTGAAACAGATGCGTTCCCAAATTCCGTGTAAAATCGCTACGCACCAGGCATCGCGCGCCGCGCCTCCCTCCCTGATCTAGGCGAGAGAACGATCCCCATCGCGCCGCGACGCAAAGCGAGAGTGCGAGCGTCTTGTCGAGATTCCATGCCAGCATAGAGACGTGTGCTGGTTCTCTTCTCGCGGACACGTTTGCCGCTCGAGACGGCCCCGCAACCAGACAACTGAAAGATGTTGTCCCAGTAGGGCCCTAGCACGCCAGGACCTCAGCACCTACGCACGCATGATGCCTCAATTATCGTGACAGCGCGGCACAAGGCTATCGCCCCCGACTTCACGAGGGCTCTGGGGGATCGGCACAGATGGAGCTTCCTCGACGATGGGAATACGCAGCTACTTCCTGTTGTGTGGTCTTGAGCCCTCTTCCATCTTTTCTTCAGACTTTTTTTTTTTCGTTTTTGAGTCTAAATGCCAAGAGTATGAATTTGCTATCAAAAAGTAAAACCAGAAAGAGATATGTAGAAAATGAGATATAACCTAACCCGAAATGAACAGTCTAGTGTGCAATGGATCCTGCTACGGCAGAGTCCCAGTAGAGAAGTATATAAAAAGAAAGAAGAGATGAAGAAGAAGAAGAAGAAGAGAAAGGAAAACAAAAAGAGAAATAATGTTTAAATCTACAAAAAGAAAGAAACGCCCAACCAAAAGAGCAAATGCAAACCTGCGCATCGTACACTAGTGCGCGTGCGTCATCATCCTCTTTCCCTATCCCCATCCCATCCTTGCTTAAACAATCACCAGCTTGCTCTTTCCGCACACCGCCTTGGAGAGCGTCTGGATCGAGCCGATGGAGAGCAGCTCCAAGACCTGGAGGTTGGCCTCAAACTCCCTGGTGATGAAGTTGCGGATCTCGATTGCCACTAGAGAGTCCAATGGGTAGTGCGAGAGCGAGCGCGTGATATCCAGCTCCTCCTCCTCCATCATCAAGACCGTCGCAATCTTGGACACCAGCCCCTTGCACACGACGTCCTCCCTCTCCTCGGGCGTCTGCGCAGCCTTGAGCGCGGCACTGTAAGAAATGGTCGTCGACGACGATGCCGTCGCCTCGGCCGCAGCCTGCTCCTCCATGACTTCTCGGAGGTGCTTGAACTTGGCGTCCTGCGTCCAGAACGGCTGCATGCTGGGTGTCATGCGGACTCCTGTAATCGTGTGGCTGTTGCAGGCCTTTTCGAGCTGACCGTTGATGGCTGCGCCCACGAGCGCGAGAACCTCAGCCTCGCAAATCAAGTCGCTGCCCAAGTTCTTGGCCACCTCCGCGGCCGCCTCCGCATTCTCGGCGAGATATCCGATATCCGAGATGGCCGTCGGATCAATGGAAGAAGCGGCGAGGCCGAGAGCCCTCCTGTACTGCACAAAGGCGTTGAGGAACGCATTACCAGCCGCGTACGACGCTTGGCCTCTGTTGCCCACCGAGGCGGCGACCGACGAGAAGGCGATAAAGAAGTCGAGAGGTTGGTTGGCGAGCGCATGGTGGAAGTTCCACGCACCATGCACCTTGCCCTCCATCACGGAAACCCACTCGTTGTGCGTCATCTTCTCGAAGAGCACGTCGTGGAGGACCATGGTTCCGTGGACAACACCACGGACCGGAGGAAGTCCCTGCACCCCGGTAGACAGGAGCTCGTCGACGGAAGCGCGGTCGACCACGTCGCAAGGGCGGACAAGCACATTGGCGCCAACCGCCTTGGCCTCCTCAATAAGGTCCGCAACCTTGCCGGTAGCCGTGCCGGTTCGGGACACCAGCACAATGTTCTTGGCCCCTTGGCCAACCATCCACTTGGCGATGCTGCGGCCGAGACCACCGGTACCGCCAACCAAGACGTAAGTGGCATCGGCATGCAGCAGCTGGCTGAGCTTCCGTGCGGGGCCTGGACGGTGTCGTTGACCTGTGGTGCTACGACAACCTTGCCGAAGAAGCTGCCTTCCTGGAGAGTCTTCAGGGCGATGTCCGCCTGAGAAATGGCGAACGCGTTGACGGGGATGGGACCTTGGCCTTGCCGGTCTCCAGAAGTCGGCCGACCTCACCGACGAGCTTCTTGATCAGCCTGGGCCTTTCAGACACGACGGAAAAGATGTCGACGGTGGCAAAGGAGATGTTTTCTTGGAGGCACGCCATCTCTACGCTGGCGCCGTCCTGCTTAGCTAGCTCGATGTACCGGCCAAACTTGGCAAGGCAACGCCACGACTCCTTGGCGACGGACCCGCGCAGGCTGTTCAGCACCACGTCGACACCCTCGTTTCCGGTCTGGTGGCGGAGCGCGTCCACGAAGCTGGCGTCACGGCTGTAGTAGATGTGGCTCTCGGGGATGCCGCACACCGAGATGAGGTGCTCCTTCTTGTCCGCCGACCCCACGGTGGCAAAAACTTCAGCACCCACCATCTGCGCAATGGTGATGGCAGCCTGGCCCACGGCGCCAGCCGCGGCGTGGATGAGGATCCTGTCACCGGCGGAGAGGCGCGCGAGCTCGACGACGCTGTAGTAAGCCGTGCAGTAAGCGATGGGCAGGGCGGCTGCGGACTCGAACGACATGTCAGCAGGAACCTTGAGGGCTAGGTACGCCTTAGTACGTGCGAAGCTGGCCAGAGAGTTGGGCGCCAGAGCCGCCACGCGGTCTCCGATTTGAATATCGGTGACGTCGGAACCGACGGCGGTGACGATACCACTGGCTTCTTGACCATAGGCTTCATCCGCGAGTTTGCCAGCCACGGCGAGGACATCCCTGCTGTTCAAACCGACAGCCTTCACCTCGATTTCGATCTCGTCCGCGGCAAGGCCAACCGATCGGCTCTCGTCATCGACAAAGTGGAGGGTCTCGAGGATGCCGGCGGTACCCATCGCCATCTTCAAGGGGCGATTGTCCTGACCAAAGGCTGTCTGCTCAAGGACTCCCTCCTTGGTCTGCCTGTGGACAAAGTCGTTCATCTCGAAATCATTGACGACGCGAGGAGTGAAGAAGGCGCCCTCACGCTCCATGAACTCGAGTTCGCTGTTGGCGCTGGCGCGGCAGCCAAAGGCCGACTTGAAGACCTCGAGGATGGCCCTGCACGAATCATCGTCCGACAACCTCGTGGTAGAGTCGAGGTCAAGCGTGGCGAACGGAAGAAGGGTCTCGGAGCGAATGCTGCGGCTCATGCCCATGACCATGTTGGCGTCTGGGTTGGTGCATCCGCTGAGGGCACCACGGACGACCCAAAGGATGCCCTGCACCGAAGTGATAATCTTCTGCACGGCGGCGAACTGCTCGGCCGTGATGGCGGTGAGGAGGGACTGATCAAGCTCATTGAGGAAGATGCACACCTTTCCGGCCGCGGCGTTTTCCGAGAGCGTACCAATCTCGGGCTTTTTCCCAGTGGCCTCCTCAAGGTCCGTGGCGAGCTTGGCTGCGGTGACCCTCTGCAGGTCCGAGTCGCCATGAATGATGACGACGTCCTCGGTTGTATGCTTGCTCTCGAGGGGCTCCACCATCTCGAACCCGTCGGTGGGGTGAAGCGGCGTGAGGACTGGCTCCCACTCCATCTTGTAGCAAAGCTCCCTAGCAGAGTTGCCGTCGGACTGGGCCTCGCGATCTAGGATAGGCGCTACCGTTAGGTCATCCACGGTGATGAGGGCCTCCTTGGCGCCGGGGATGGTGGCAAACATGGAGACCTTGGATGGCTTGGGGTTGGTAACGGAGATAGAACCGCGGCAGTACGCCTGCAGGAGGCTGCCGGGCTCCTTGGTGGCGGCGATGGCGTCCTTGGAGAAGGTCATGCGGCCAATGGAAGACGGCAGGTAGACGGTGTTGAGGCCGCCGGCCTCGGATGCGGCCATAGGCCAGTACATCTCAATAAGAGATTCTAGGAGAGAGGGATTGATAATAGGGCTGACCACATGGCTGTTGGGCATCTCCTTGGCAACGTCGGGGACCTTGATTGTGCCCGAGGCGCAGCCAAGAGAGGCCTTGCAGCTGTCGATGCCCTGGAAGGTGGGACCGTAGTTTACGCCAATGGAAGCGAGGCTCTCATACATTCTGGCGAGGTCAATGCTCTTCTCGGCACCCGCATCAATCTCGGAGATGGAAGTGTTGAGGGTGGTCTCAGTATCCAAAGCTAGCTTGTTGCCATTGACACTGTTGATCTCCCTAGCACTGACGCTAATAAGGCCCTTGCAATGGTCCTTCCAGCCCTGAGTGGTGGTCCAAGAGCAGATGCGGAACTCATCCCAGACACCCTCCTCGACCGCGCGGAGGGTGATGTTCATCTCGACGTCCTGGTCGGGAATGACGAGAGGCGCCGAAATAGTGACATTTTGTAGCTCAAACTTGTCGAACTCCACGCTAGCCTCCTGCGCCTTTTGAGCGGCAGCCTCAAGGGCCATGGTGACGAAACCGGCAAGGGGGAAGATAGTTAGGGACTGGATCTGGTGGTGGCGTAGCCAGGGTAGGTCGTCCAGTCGGACAATGTTCCTCCAGGTAGGCTCCAAATCGTTGGAGTAGTGGGCAAGGGTGCCAAGAATGTCGGTCCTGGGGGCCGTACGCGACGAATGCTTCTCCCATAGACGTGAGCGGTGCCAGTACTCGGTAGAGTAGTTCCAAGGATAGCGGGGCAGGTCGGTAAGAAGGACAGGTGGCTTAGCAGGCGGGTTGGCAAAGTTGACAGCCTGGAAGTCGAGAGTGGCGCCCTTTGTCCAGAGCTTGGCCGCCAATTCAAGGACGGTCTCGACCGCATCTCGCTTGCGCACGAGGGCAGAGGTGTAAGGTATCTTGGTAGCGTTGGCGCCGGCGGCCTTGAGGATCTGCTTGACGGGGCCCTGGAGCGCGGAATGCGGGCCGAGCTCAACAAGCATATTAACGCCAGTCTTGTGGTCACCTATAGGTTGGACCATATCATCGACAGCCTCAGCGAAGCGGACAGCGCAGGTGAGGTTCTGAACCCAGTAGCTGGACTCGAGTTCCGTGCCCTCAGCTAGTCTACCGAGAAGGGAGGAGTGGAATCGTACATCGGTGGTGACGGGACGCTCTACGTTGGCGAGGGATTGCTGATACTCTTTGGCAACAAGGTTCATGTGGTGCGAGTGGTAGGCAACATCGACCTGCAACCGCCTGTTGAACAGGCCCTTGGCCTCGACGGCCTTCTCGAGCTCCGCAACGGCGGGCTCGTCACCGGAGATGGTAAGGCTGCCGGGGCTGTTGAAGCAGGCGATGCGGGCCTCGCCGTCCTTGAGGTCGGCGAGAAGTGGGGCAAACTCCTCCTTGCTACCGCCTACAGCCATCATGGCGCCTCGGAGGTCCGGGTGTTTTTGCTTGAGAACGGGGATGAGACGGCCGCGATGGTATGCAATGGTCATACAGGCATCAAAGGTGAGAATGCCGGCAGCGTAGGCAGCGGCAATTTCACCACTGGAATGACCGGCAACAGCGCTGGGCTTGATTCCCCAAGAGCGGAGAAGATCGGTAAGCGCCAGCTGGATGGCCGTGCAGGCGGGCTGGCTGATATGGGCCTGGTTAACCTGGGAGGTGACGGCGTCCCTGCTGAGCTCCTCGACAAGGGACCAGTTGGCTCCCATGGAAGTCATGCAGGTGTCGGCGCGATCGAGGCTGTCACGGAAAACGGGGTACTCGGTGTAAAGCTCGCGGCCCATAGCCCACCACTGGGCACCCTGGCCGGTGAAGATATAGCCGATACGCAGGGGCTCGGTTTCTTTGGCAGGGGTGATTTGCTCCTTGGACAGCTGCTCGACGAGCTCAAAGGAGTTGGAAGCCGGGACGGCGAGACGCCACTGGAGGATGGAGCGTCTTTGGCAAATCGTGTAAGCTACGCTGGCCATGAGGTCGAGCTCGAACATCTCGGGCCGCTGCTCGAGGTAGATAACAAGCTCCTTCGTAACCCTTTGCAGCGAGGCCTTGTCGTTGGCTGAGAAAATGAACAGCTTGCGGCCGTTGGTGGAGAACGCCTGCTTGCCGTCAAGGATGGTCCTCTCCTGCCCTTCTGTGCCAGGAATGGGGCCCTCTCAAGCACGACATGAGCGTTGGTGCCGCCGAAGCCAAAGTTGTTGACGCTGATGTACTTCTTGTTGCGGGGCCAGGGCCGCTGGCCGGGTGGCACCTTGATGCCCCATTCAGAAAACGGAATCTTTGGGTTGGGCTTCTGGAAGTCGTGGTTAGGGATGATGAAGCCACGCTCGAGCATGAGGGCAGCTTTGAGGACAGCAACGATGCCAGAAGCGCCTTCAAGATGGCCAATGTTTGATTTGACGGACCCGATAAGCAGGGGGTCGCGGGCGGTACGCTTTTTGGCGAGAACGTTGTGGATGGCGCGGGCTTCGATGGGGTCGCCGACCTTAGTGCCGGTACCGTGGGCCTCGACGAACCCACACTCGAAGGGGTCAAGACCGGCGTTCTCGTAAACCTGCTTCATGAGGGCCTCTGAGTTTGGAGGTATAAAGTGGTTAGTCATGTTTCTTTTTTTTTCTTATCTGGGTCGAGCACTCTTGCCCCCTTCTTCTTCTTCCTCTTCTTCTTCTGCCACCTAACGATTAGACTTACCCTGGGCCTCTCCATTAGGCATGGTGATACCGGGAGTCCTTCCGTCCTGATTGATGCCGCTGCCGGCGATGACAGCCCTAATGGTGTCGCGATCCCGGATCGCCTGGTCTAGAGGCTTGAGAATAAGAAGCGCGCAGCCTTCGCCGCGGCCGAAACCGGTGCCCCTGGCATCGAAAGAAAAGGATCTACCTTGGTCGGAGAAGAGTCTATTTTGGTGGTGCGATCCACGTAAGCATTCAAACTAAAGACCATAGAATGGGGGTTTGCATGGGGAAAATGAAATCGAGGAACTCTCTACCTGGACTTGGAGAAGGAAACCCAAAACTCGGGCAGCATGTTAAGGTGGCAACCGCCAACAATGGCCATGCCAGACTCGCCCATCCTCAGGCTCTGGCAAGCAGTGTGGAGGGCTACCAGACTGGAGGAGCAGGCGGTGTCTGTGGTGAAGCTAGGGCCTCGGAGGTCGAAGAAGTGGGAGATTCTGTTGGACTGCATGGCGTATGCGCAACCTAGTGCTGGTCAGCTACAACCTCCCAAGTATGCGGCGTTCCATTCTCACGCAAAGCCAGTGGGGGTTCCAGTAACTTACCAGTCGCTTGATGCATGGGGATCGTGTCCGAATCCCTAAAGAGAGCGGACTCGTACTCTGGGAACGAGCCGCCAATGAAGACGCCGACATCCTTGCCGACAATTTCCTGCTTGGGAACACCAGCATTCTCGAGGGCCTCGAAGGCGCACTCGAGGAGCAGGCGTTGCTGAGGGTCCAGGGAGATGGCCTCTTTCTCTGTCAGACTGAAGAAGGGGGCGTCGAAGGCCTTGAAGTCGGTGCTGAGAAAGCACCCGCCCGCAGGATTGGCGGTACCTGCCTTGCCCGGGTTAGGGTGTTGGAAGGAGGCGGGATTGAAGCGGTTCTCGGGGATAGGGGTCCAGGTGCCGCGTGCACGGGCGATGAGCTCCCAGAATTCAGCAGGGCTGGAGATGTTGCCGGGTAGACGGCAGGACATGCCAATGATGGCGATGGGCATGACTTTGGGGGCGCGGGCGCGGAGGGGGCGCCGTTCGTCTGAGGCAAGGAGGCGGCGGGTGGCGCGGCGGGGGCAGCTCGTACGGCAGGAGCAGCTCTCACTGCGGGTGCCGGGATGGAAGAGCTAGTGTTGGCGCTCATGCTGCTGACGCTACTAGCGCTGCTATCCGCGTCGTGGCCGTTGACACGGTGCCCATTGGTGTGGCCGTTGGTGATGCCATTGGCATGGCCATTGGCACGGCCATTGATGGCACTAGGGAAGCCATTGAGATTTGGTGCGGATGGGCCGTTGGCGCCGCCGTTGACTTGGCGAGGAGGAGTGGGAGGTTCGAAGCCGTCGGGAATGGACATGGGGTAGGCGCCGGGAATAGAGCTACCACCTACAGGACCACCGAGGATGCTTTCCAGGTTGGTTAGGAAGGTGTAGTCATTTTGCCAGTCGAGAGTAGAGCTACCACCATTCTCGTCGGCGTCGCCGTTGACCGGCGTCGGGGGTTGGAGTCGGCAGACGGGGACATGGTCGCGGGCCGAGGGAGGGTAGCGTCCGTCTGTTTCCTCTCGAGACCAACGAGGTCGTTGTTGAGGAGAAGGGAAAGAAGAGGACGGAAAAAGGGGTTGAAGATAAGTCTTTAAGGGCGAATCACTCCTGGCAGGGAGGGGGTGAGAGAGGAGGGCCAGAAGAAGCAGCCGGCGATCTAATCTCCAAGCCAAGACTTAGACATGACAAAAGAAGCTCTAATGACGAGTGAAGGGACGATGCGTCCGTCGCCGAGTGAGTGGCGGAGAGTGGAGGATGGGCTAGGGAGAAAAGAAGGGGAAAAGAAAAAGAAAACCAAGCTCTCACTCGACTTTCTTTTCTTCTTTGACTGTGATGCCAAGACTTTTGAAGTCTTTATATATCAAAGAAGTCTGGCTTTTGGTAATGGAGGGGGTAAAGGGGGACAGGAGGGGAGGGAGCGGAAGGATAAATGGAAAGGGTCGTGGTAGAAAAAGAAAAACAAAGTATAGAAGAAAGAAAAAAAGAAGCCGGGAAATGGCAAGGGGAAAGAAAAAAAAAAAGAAAAAGAATAAAGAGATAATAAAGCAAGTGACAGGTTGGTATATACAAAGTGATGAAGCAGGCGCGACAAAAAGGTAAAATGGGCCAGCTCTCTTCTTGATACAACTGATGTCAGGCGGAAACAAGGTCAACGTATACGGGGGTGTTTGGGAAATAGAGACAGCGCTCAGTGTGTAATTGATATGTGCGTGCGTGTGTGTGTTTGGGAAGGGGTGGGCGTGGGTGCCTCCGGGTTTTCTCAGAGCTCTATACGTATCCTTTCTCGGAGGCGAGCGGGTGTTCCTTCTTTTTCCTTTAGGGGATGCTTTTGCCGAAGACTTCGGTTTTTGAATTTCTGGAAGGAACGACGAAGACGGGGGCCTTGAAAAACAATAACGAGTGGAAGAAGTAGTGAAGAAGGTGATTTCGCAAAAAAATCGAGGAGAGATATCCGCAGCCATCGAGGGTTATTATACGGCGCAGATCATTGTCGGACTTGAGTAGCGTCGAGCTCGGTGACTTGTTCCCTACGTGATTTCGCACATCGGCGGCTGTATTATGGGATGAAGAGGATATACAAGGAGGCCGCGCCTGCCTCCATGACGAGGATTAGGAAGCCTTTCCCAACTAGGAAATTGAAGAGGAAAATGGCTTTTGGGGGAAGGAAGTAGGCCCGCCCGGAGCCCGTTTCCGGATCGAAGAGAGCTCCTTCCCTCGCCCGCACTCTTGCTTTCACCGTCTTCCACCTCTTCAAACCCCCGCGGGCCCAATGTCATGGCCTCATTCTCCCTCAACTTCGCTAACGCCCGCTCGCTTGTTACGGCTCATGGCTGGACTTACGTCTTGCAGTTGACGACTACCTTGCCATGTTCATCTTAAACATTTCCCCTTGATTCCGGGTGACGATACCATGCATCTGCCTCACATACTCTTGTTCCCCACGCCGCCCACTTCGCGAAATAACCAAACGCGCAAGCCAAAACCACGTTATCAGTTTAACGGGGAGGGTGGGGAGTGCTGTAGGTGTGGAGATCATCGATAGATGTATCTACGCACGTATGGGGTTCCTGGGGACCGTTGATGATTCGGGTAGACAGTGGCGCGGGACGTCGCCGCAACGCTTAAGGAATTTCCGCTAGAAACCACAACTAGAATGTCCTATTCAGGTGTTGTGTGCATTAATCTTTATTCTCCTTTTAACCCTTTTTTTCTTCACGTCCTTTCTTCCTCTCTTTCGGGGCTTGCCTTCCTTCTGAACTTCCTGTCTTGATTCTCTCGACATTATACGGCCTATGGCCTGATTTAGGTGGTTGGAAGAGTGTGGCATATCCCGTTGAACGGTAGGAAAGGTAAATTGGTGATTGCAACAAGGTGGCATTTCCGGTTTCTTCTTCTCCCTTTCTTCATTTTCTTATCCCACCTTGCCCCTTTTTGGGTAGGAGTCGCGGTAAATGGACGCGCGGTAGCGGAAGAAACCAGAGGGGGTTAGGAAGGAAAGGGCGTGAATCTCAAGTGTAGGGGAATGAGAAGAGGGAATTGACAGGACCGGAGGAAAAGGGGCGTGTGTGGTTACTTTGCGTGTGTGTGTGTGTGTGGAGAGACAGGTCGGGAGAGAGGCCAGGGGCGTCGTGGACCAAGCAAGCATTGAGGTTTGAGTGCCAGCGTGTAAGTGTCAGTCAGACTGAAGAGGGTTGGGGGTGTTGATGCATGTAGCGCGCCAGCACCAGGATTTGGCACCCAAAGGGGAGGGAAGAGCAGAATCAGAATAGGGATAGACTGGAGCACGATCCCGATTGCACTAGCCGACGACCTCATTTGAGGCAAAAGGTAAAATGAGATTCTGTCAGAGCTCGGGGCAAGGGGTAGCATGCTAATTCCTACACTGCACTAAGGGTAGATATTGGCCTCTGGTCATGAACGTCAGGGTATTGTGGGGTTGCTACATATACCTACGTGTAGTTGCTTGCACACTTGCGGTGGTGGCTCAATGTGATGTGGGTGTGTAAATGTGTGTGTGTATTTTGTGGGATTAATATAAAACCCAAATGAGCTGACGACGGTTTGATTTATAGGCGAAAAGTGGGCGGGGCCTGGGTTATGATGTTGGAGGACACCGACGTGCTTCAATTCGCGAGGTTGGTAGGAACAAATAAAAGAAGAACATTGGAGAATAACGGAACCAACAGCAGGAGCTCGGAAATTCCCCAAGCCTCCACGACAAGTGGGTGCATGCATAGATGAAGGTTTCGCGATAGCGCAAATCCTTTTCGGAATGGCGAAGCTACGGGGTTCGCGCCTCGGTCGTCCTACCGACACCTATTCGCCGATCGGTATCGGTGGATGGCGAGGGTGGCCGGCCAAAAGGTGCGGCTGGCAGGGCAGAGATGCTCAATAGCGGGAAGATAGGGTAGAGGCGGTATCAAGACAATCGATGATGAGATCGATGATGACGACAACTCGGGGCCACCAAAAGACGCCAAACTACGACCTTGACGATGGTGCGCACTAGGTTTATGCTGTCTTCTACTTTTCGGTTTCCCCGTCACTTCCTCCACTCGGGTGATATGAACAAACCCACATTCACTATATCTTTGCTTATCTTCGAGATGAGGGGAATATGAACGGGGAAGGGCTTGTGACTTGACATGATGATGGTGAACCTTGGTAGACATCGCGATGATCGTCAGAAGTGTGAGATTGGGAAGCAGGAGAAGACAAAGTAGAAGAAGATTATTATGATGATGGCACAAGTGAGCGGCGGTGGCAATGCTTGCTCCAGGTTCCTTGAGACCGTCGATCTGGGGTAAGGTCATGCCTTGCCATAGGGTTGGGGCTAGGTTCGCAGTTGGGGTTGGGGTTAAAGGTAGGGAGGGGTTGCCCTTTCGAACCTTGCTTGCCTATCCCGCGGATATGTACACTCTCGAAACCTTGTGAGACGTGAATGAAAGAAGACAAGGGACGAGAACGGGAAAGACACAGGGCAGACGGAGCGTTCATGGTTTCGCCGCCCGCCGCCTCTCGGGCCCACATCGGGTCGAGGTGGAGATGGAAGATGGCGATGGCGACCGATCGAAACGAGGGTGGACGCGAGCTTGGGGCAGGGGGCCGAATATAGATCCACCCATCCACCCCAATGTATGGGTGGGGGACATGCGAAAGAAAGAAAAAATGGCCAGAGCCGGCAAGCTCGGGGAGATTGGGCGTTGCGTCAAACCGCGGTGCGGCAGCGGTGCGTCAACGTGTCTCTCTGTTCGTACCTTGCTTGCCCGATGGCTTGCTCCGGACAAATGGGGCCGTGTTCGGGATGCTTGTTTTGGGGGACGAGGGGACGAGGGGAGGAGCATGATTGGCATGATTGACATGATGAACATGGCCGATCATGCCAGAGAATGGATGAAATAGACTGGCAACCTGTCAGAAGTGCGCAGCAGCCGAAGCCATCGGACTTGCCGCTCACATCTGCTCTAGTAAGATCTACCACAATGGGTGAGATTCGAGAAGGTTTTCAAGTATCTTCCAGAGAACAGTCTCGAAAGTCAAGGCATTGGATGATTGCCAGGGTGGGTGGAGGGGAAGAAAGCGAGGGTTCAGAAGCTTCCAAAACGTGCGCGCTCGCTCGGAAGCGTGTTCGGGAGTCTGTCGCATCCCTGTCAAAGGTTTCTTTTTTCCCTTCTTCTCTTTTTATCCGCCCTCTTCACTCATTTGGATTTCAAACAGCTGAAAAGAGTAGCGGACGGGAGGCCCTTGCGTGACGAGTGCACATACGCGTTCTCCGTTCCCGAGATAGCACGCTTCTATTTGCCGCGGCTCAGGGCCCCCGGCAAGCTAGCGGGGACGGGCATCCAGGGAATTCTTGAACAAGCTTTTCTTGGGGGCCGCAGCGCCGGAAACGGAAGAATGTGAGTTTTGGTGGCGCTCTTGTGTCACTTGGTCCTTGCGTTCGAGTTGGGTTAACTTGATATTATACGTCCATCCCTTTGATGGATGTACTCTAAAGTTGTATCGTGGGAGGAGTATATTGGGTTCGCGCGGAGCATGTTCACCAACAAAGAAAAAGAAAAACAAAAGACAGAAAAAGAGGGGGAAAAAAGAGACCACAGAAAAAGAGAATAGGGGGAATAATTCTAGGGGGTGAAGCTGGCAAAGGGACAGAGAAGCAGAGAACATGAGAGTCTTCTCTTGACACCTGCAGGCCAATTTTGCGGCGATCTCTTGTTTTGCATAAATTGGATCCGGGGCAAGCAAAAACAAACGACTCACCAATGTCAAGAGAAAGAGGGATGATACTCGTCCTAGCAAATAGATTGATGGG